ATGCAAGGGCTTAACCGGGGAGGCTGGGTGGTGGTGAGATGCGGCGGAGGGAGAGACTGAAGGTAGGGTTGGGACTGTTGATCAACATGGACCGAGACATGACGGACAACATGCATTTGTAAACTATATATATATATATATATATATATATATATATATATATATGCATTTGTTGCAATGGTGCTCTGTGTTCCTGCCACTAGCTGACACGGCTAGGTAGTTTTTAAATTTCTGGTTTAGAAAGGCTTGCCAATTTTTAAATTTCTGGTTTGGATCTTGTTGCTTTCTGTTGGACTTGGGCTGGCTTTGTTGTGGCTTTTGGGCTTTGGCCCTTTTATGAAAGGCTTAGATGTACTACCCTTTCTGGTTTTGTAAGTTTGGTCTTCCTGTAGGACTAAATAGAAAGTTTCCACTATGACCAAACTTACAAAACCTGATCACAAATAGTTAAGAGATTCAGTGTGAAGTAGGCAGGCATGGCAGACATCAGGTCGATGGTTTTGGTGATCATACTTTATTTTTTCAATTTTTTTTTATTATTATTATTTTTTAGGGGATGCTTAGATATAATTATTTGATGCAAATTTGACAATTTAGGTAAATGTATGTATTTCCCCTCTGCTGCTTGAAAAAAGAATCAGATGTTTCTATGTTTGGAGTAGGTTTCTAAGAAAGCTTTTGTGATGCGGCTTGGCAGCTACTTTTACTACCGGCACTTACAAAAAAAATTGGGATGTTTAGTAAATATTTTTAAGAAAGCTCTTGTGATGCTGATTGGGATATTTGCTAAATATCTCAATATTTTTGTAAAGTATATCCCAAACTGGACAAGATACGGAAATTTTCTTCATTCTAATATAACTATTAGTAATGATCTGAGTGTTCGTTAGACCTACTAAGACTATTATATATTACATATATGATTTGACAACATATATTAGTCGGACAATAATGGAGAAGAACATTTCAACTTACCAAAACTATACTTTTTATTTTTTTCCTGGTATTTATGGGTAGTGGTCGTGCCACGGGCTCTTATCAAGATTTTCCTAACTCTAAAAATGTTGTTTATGGTTTCTTTTTAGTTACTCATATAGTTGTAAATTTTTATTTTGATCTTTTGTAATTCATGTTGTAAAAAAAATTTCTCAATATGTCAATTTATTTCATTCTATATTGTATAAAATGTGGGATATAAAAAATATTGAAAATTTCTCTAACGATTCTAAAGCAATCTTATGAATAAAGTGCAGTTCAAAGATGGTTTAATTTTCTTTCAACAAAAGTAATCTCATTTTACGGACCGTTTATCAGGCGTCAACCAACTGCACCAATCACATGGGTTGGTTATACCATAAAGTTACAAAAGGTTGCACATGTGAATCAACCCCTAAAGCTAGACGGAAGCATAAATCACAAAGGCTAAGGGTTGGTTTGACAATCACAGTTGCTTTGTGTTTTTACTTTGACCCAAAATAAAAGTAATGTTTTCGTTTTAAAGTATATTCAACATTATTTTAAAGCTTGTTTGGAAACGTAAATTTATTGCAAGAATTTTTAATGCAAAAACATGAGAGCGTGTTTAGTAAAAAGTGTTGTAAGTTTGAAAATTTGAATGGCCAGTTAAAAATGTTAATTTAGAAAGAAAAAAAATAATAAAAAAAATATTTGAACAGGTGCGGAAGCTGCTTCTGATTTTGATCTCAATTTTAGAAGTGCTCTATTCAATGACAGCAAACGTAAATAACATAAAACAAAAACATTAGCCAAATAAACCCTAAGCAAAAATTATTTGCCAAACACATGGACAAAGTTTAAAAGTTTAAAAATTGAGAAGGAGAGAAAAATAATAATAAGATTATTATGAGAAATAAAAATAAATAAAAATCGACAAAGTGCATTGAAATTTTAACATATTTGAGTTAGTATCTCGATCTCCTTCCCCTTCACGTTCGTTGTTGATAGTGGAAAAGCAATGCTTTCTTCCCTAGTGTCAACAATAGTAACATTATACATTAAATACGAACAATGTCGATAATAAATAGCAAACACACATATCATCGAATTTATAATACAAAAAGATACGTTGTTGCCTTTTTGATAAACCACGGTAATTTGCATCAAAGCTTCCATTGACGCGTCCCATACGCTGAAATCATCATAAGGCCCATAAAGTAGTTCTCTAAACACATAATATTCGGTAGTAAGTGATATCCATACAAAAGAGTAATAAATATCGCCACACCAATGTCGCAAAAGAAAAACTACATATAACGTGATCACGGACCTCACAAACTTTGCCCACCGTCCAATTCGACGATCATGCTTAAATTTTTGTTTGTATTCTTGAGCAAGATATATGTGGAATAAAATTAAAAGGTGTATGGTGATATTCACCATACCATAAATAGAATATCCAATGTAATCATAAAATCCTATAAGATTTGTTATCTTCTCTATCGTTGCAAAGTTGCTTGTCCCGCGTAAAATAGACACCACACCCAAAATAGACCAGAGATTGCCAACATTTTCTGCATTTAAAAGTAAGATTGATGTCATTATATAAAAATAATAATAATAATAATACAATTAATAGATAAATCTTTACTAAAAGCTAGTAAATCATAATTATCACAATAATAATGCTCAAATTCAACCCAACAAGTTAATTTATATTTCCATACCAAACAGATTTCGGATTAAAAATTCACTCATAAGTACTCACTGGTATATTTTTCTCTGCAATAGTAAAACGTTTTTGAGAAGCAATAAATAAGTTGCTTCATTATTTCTTCACGGCTCATCTGTCAATAAAACAACAACAAACAAAGATAAATATAAATAAATAATCACAAAGGGACAAGATAAGGGAAAAAATAAAAAGAATAAATAAATAAATAAATTTGGCATTAATCATTTGTAGTAACTGAAAATGAAGTAAAGTAAAGTCACCTTACTAAAACGCACAAGCAGCAAAATTAGCTTTACAGATATAGGATCCATCTTTCTGAATTGATCATCAATCTCTAGAGCAGGGAGAGTATCTTCCATTTCGAGAGTAGAGTGAGAAATTGTGATTTTATTAATTCTATTTAATAAAAATAACAATTCAACTTATCTAAAATAGTTTAAGATTATGTTTATCGAGTAACAATTCAACCAAACTGAAATACTTAGTTTATGTTTATCGTATTAAATAAATAAATAAATAAGGTTAAGTTTATCCCAAAAACGAGCCACCAACGCTCGATCCCCTCCTTAAAAATGACAATTTTTTGTTAAAATAATAAAAATAGTAATCTAAATAAAGTTTAATTGGACCATTACCAACTTTCTTTGTACTTATTCTTACAAGAAGCCCAAGCTTACAAAGCCCAAAGGCTTAGATATGGCCTGACAAGTATGGGCCACCCAAGCCTGGCCCACTCATTTATATACATGTAACGCTGCGAATAAAAAAGGATTCAAGAATATAACCCAAAAATATATATAATATATATAGAAAAAAGAAGTAGTAGTAATTGAGAATGAAGTAAAGTCACTTGCTAAATATGCAGTGGTAGCCAAATTATATTCATCTCTATAGTAGAGCAGAGAGAGAAAAAGAGGAATTGATTTGGGACTCAACAGGCCTTAAATTATATAATTAATTTAAGAGAGGAAATTCGGATGTCTAAAATTTTATTCCAAAATATTAAGTTATTCTTAAATTAAATAAATTTTTTTGATAAATTTAAATTATTTTAGAAAGAAGAGATTATTCTTTCTAAAATTAAATAATTTCTAAATTTATGATGGTAGCCTTTTTTTAGGATACTATATCCTTCATTGCAATCCATCTTGTATCAAGGGGAAGTACCACGCTAATTTAAAAAAGAAAAAATTATATATGAGTTAAGAGTCTTAAATAATAAAACAATTTATTTAAAATAATTTATATTGAATGACTCATACGCATATGTTGTACGAATAAGTTCAATAATCGTTACAATCATTAATTTCTCGTCTGTTAGACCATAATACTCCATTAAATTCCTCAATCCAAATGAAAACTCTCAGACCCCTTCATTAAACTAGGTGAGGTTTACTATATGCACAAATCTATATAAATTGACTATTTTTTTTTGGACAATAACGCCCTTTTGTCATAATTATCATTTAAACAAGGCCTTAAATGGTTGAAAAGATGAAATTGCCCATTTATATTAAAATCAGTTTTAGTGATATTTAAACTAGGGATTTCATTTAAATCCAACTTGTTTGGGGTTTAATTCAGATGCACTTCAAAATCTTTTATTTTTATTTATTAAATTATAAATTTATGTCTCACTTTATATTTTTGTCCTTCTTTAAGTTGTCATTATCAACTTCTTAATTCGTATTTGTTAATTTAAACTGCTCATCAACTATCTATTTCGATATTTTGGAATTATATGATTTTAAAAAGAATATTTTAATATTTTGAAATAATAATTAAGAACATTTTGGATCTTAATAATAATTTTTGATATATTTGTAATTATTTTGCTTAATTCAATCAAAATAAAAAAAATAAACTTTTAAAATAAATCATTTCATTATTTTATTAGAACTTGTAACTCTACTTAGATGTAGTTTTCCTTTTAGAAAAACATTGAACAACTTTCTTAAGTGAATGGAATTACCAAATTATCCTTCTTAATCAAATAATTTCTAAATTTGTTTGAGTATGAGAATTATTTTATTAAAGATGATAATTTAGTATTTTAGGAAAAGAATTTAGAAAATGAATATATAATTATTTTACTTAATTTAACTAAAGTGCAAAAATAAAATTTTAAAAATGGACTACTTATGTTATTCAGGATTCCTAACCTAATAAGTATGGGTTTCCTGAAATTCTAGTCCGATGTTGTACTGGTTTAGCTTTGGAACCTCACTTGTCCAAATTCCATTATTGCCCCCGTAATTTTGTAAAATGACATATGTTCACCATCTCCTTTCCGTCAATTTACCGACCTACCTCCTAATCGGTGCCCTTAATGGCTTGTGTTCTGGAGAGAGAAATAAAACCAGACACAAACAAGTCCAGAATACTGTACTACTAATATTTATATATACACACACATACATGTATACACATATATACAGAATCAATAGAGGTCCAGAGATTGTGTAAAGAGAGATGGAACATCATGAGCAAGAGCAGGAGCATGAAGTGTACGGAGGAGAAATACCCGATGAGGGAGAGATGGACGCCGATATCGATATGTCCACTGCTCCTGAGGACGATCCTAACTCCAAGGTCCTTCAATTTCTCTCTCTATGTATACCTGTGTGTTTATATATATATATATATATATATATATATATATATATATTGTTTGCCCTAATATTCATGGTTTGGCCTTGCACAGGACTTGGAGGACATGAAGAAAAGGCTTAAAGAAATTGAACAAGAAGCCGGCGCTCTTCGCGAAATGCAGGCAAAAGTCGAGAAGGAGATGGGCACCGGGCAAGGTCTCATTCTCTCTACTCTCTTTTTGAATCTTTTTATTTGTATGCTTCTGTTCTTGTCGCATTGTTGTTTGAATTCGATTTCTGTTTCAGATTAAAAAAAAAAAAATTATGCTGTTATGCTTCATTCGTTGCGATTAAAAATCAAAACTTTTTACAAGAAAAAATTAATTTTTAGTTGCAAGGGGAAAAACAATATGAAGCCTAAACTGTTTAGGGAAATTAATCCAGAAAATTTGTTATTGGAATTAAGCTGGGTCACCTATTGAATTTTAATTTACACTGTTGTGTTCTTTGAGCTTGAACTAATGTAAGTTAGTGGTTATAGTGTTGTAGGGATTGTGGTTGATGGAGAACCTGATTTTATGTTTGTGACTGCTCATTGATATTGCTATTCTACCCTTATTGAATGTAGAGAATGTTAAAGATATTTTGAGGTTGCACATAAATGGAAAAGAAGTCTTGTAGCATGGCTGTTAATCATGTTAACAATTAAAATAAATGATAAATTCCAAAAAAGCCACCCAAAAATAGTGCAAAGGTAGAAAATTGAAATAACACTCTAAAGCTTAAAAACTATGTTCAGATTGCAATCTTATATCAAATGGAGCAAAATATCTATGAAATGAAAATGTAATAAGTATACCTAATGTTAGTAATTTGTGACAAGTCAAAATAGGTTTTGCAATCAATATGTTTGAGATTCCTTTTGGATTCTTTTGTTGATAAATTAAGATAATCATTAATAAATTTAACTAGAAGTGGTGCAACCCAAGCACATAATGAAGAATACCAAAATGCCTATACAGCCCTATACAAAGTGAAAGAATCTAAGTGCTCTGCGTTGTCCAAAAAGTTATGGAAGGAAGAAATTACATTCACATTCACCACAAATTGCCTTACTTTAAAAATAAAAATAGTTTAATCCTATGAATATGTCAAAGTGATCTTCAAAATAAAGACCAATAATTCTTTTTTAAAGGAAGAAAGAACATTAAAAGCAATTGAGGCTATCACATATTGTGGAAACTAGTCTAGCTTCCGAGTTATGTACTTAAAGCACTAGAATGTCATCGTACAAGTCCTAAAATTCACAAAATCGTTAAACCGACAAATGGGAATTAAGGGGAAAAATATGCAAAATTATGCATAACTAAAGGTTTTGAAGATTAGTCTCTGTCTTACCAAAAGCATGTCAACAAATTTGGTAACGCATCTCATGTGTTGGTATACGTCTAGCCTGTTTAGGTGACCGTCAACAAATTTGGTAATGCGTCTCATGTGTTGGTATATGTCTAGGTGTTGGTTCATTTCGTCATGGGGTCATTAAGGCAAGGTAAAGTGTTTTCCTGACAGAATTTCCTATTTATGAGTAGGGTTGTGAATGAATCAAGATGTTCATGAATAACTCATATAGGTGGTGCGGAGCATTCAGTCTTATTCAATAATAAACAAACTGATCTTGAGCCTTAATATTTTTGGGCTTATTTTTGGCATGAGCTGAGCTTGAACAACTCCAACCTTGGTTCACCCAGCTTCATGAACTTAAGGGAGATCAATAGAATCTGAATGTGAGCTGATAGCTGACCGAGGTTATCTCATGTATGTAGTGGACGAATATAAGGGAAGAGATGAGATGGAATACAAACAAAATGTGTGCCAATCAGATGATGACATGTTTTCATCTTGGATTCTCCGTCTTTTACTTTTTCCCTATCTACCCTTCCCAGTTCAGATCTTTGGCCTCTATTCTACTTATTTGTCAATCTTATAAATCAATCAGCATCAAAATCTAATCATGGTGGGTACCAAATCCTTCATTTTCTTCCGTTGATGGGCTTCCATAGATCGACCAGAAGGTTAGATATCCTCAAGAATAATGAGGGGACGAGGGCTATGGGTTATAAAGCGTCAGGGCACTTCATTTTCGTGGTTCAACTCAACTGTTTAGGGTTTGCTAAATCTTCCTTTCTTTAGATTTTCTCGTTTGTTCCATCTTTCTCCATGGTGATGACAATGCTTCATTTTTCTCTAGCCATCTATGGGTGAATCTGGTAGGTTTCTTGCCTTCTTTATTATTATTTTATTATTTTTTAATGACAAACAACTTAAGTAGAAAGAGTTAGGTTTTTCGTTTTAATCTACATGGTTGATTCCATCATTATGAGTCTAGCCAAGGTAGCTCATAATAATTTCCTATCTCTAAAGGTGGTGTTTGATAAAACAAAAAATTAAGCATTAAAAATTTTAAGAGCTTGATTTTAAATGTTGCTAAAGTGTTAATTGTAATTTGAGAACTTTTTTGTTACTTGTTTAAATTTGAAGTGTTCAGTAAGTGTAGGTCTTTTATAAGTAGAAGTTATTCTATTAAGTGGCATCTAATTGTGTTATCAAATGCACTTAATTGGTTAATCACTTGATATATTCAGAATTGTGTACTTATTGAGTTATCTAACAACACCTAAAGATATAAATAATTGTTAATAAATTCTTACTCATTTTGGACAAAACAGTACCCATAATGTTCTTTTTTATAGATGGATAAAAAACATTATGAGAAATTTTCCAATAATTTAGTTTTCTGTTTTCTCTGCTTTTGGCTATAAATACCATCCTCTTTGTACTGTAATTTTGATTTTCCACAATTGTGGTGTAATCAAAATATTTATGGAGGCTCTTTTTTTTTTGGTATAAAGTTAGTGTATCAAATGCCAATGCAGCTTCACAATCTACTGATTGCACAAATAACCCTACTTTAAAATAATCTAATTGCGTCTTTGTGGTGTTACAGATCGCAACCCTAAAAGTACTTTAGAATTGACAACATTTGTTGAAACCTATATGTATGAATGATCTACTGGAGAGTATCATTCCAAGAAGTCTATTAGATAATAATAGGTTTCAACCTTTAGATCACGCTGGATTTATGATGTTCTGTAATTCCTTTTGAATGGTTGTACTTTTAAGTTTCTCGTGCACTGTGACAACTTTAGTGAAGACGTTGAGTCTTTTTATTTACAAAGCTAATGCTCATTCAACTAAAAGAATAAAAAAATAATGATATAAATCCGTGGCCTAGCAAAAGTAGGAAGTGTGTCTAAAAAGTTAACAACCTGAAGTAGAAAGCAATCCAAACCTGAAAGGAAGACTCAGCTACGTCAACAATTTGGTAATATGCCTTGGTCCAAAAATTTTGAATCTAAAGAAACTCTTCTTCTTCTAACTTATGGTATCCCCTGCATGAGCTTTGAACAAATAATTTTGTCGTTGACTAAATTAAAATTGCATTTGGACATGGCTAAGAAATTTAATGCTTACAATTTGTCCAACCTGAACCTCTTTCTATTAAAATGCTAGGAAATCCATCTTACAGTTTCTTGTAAACCCTGGAAAAGTGGGCGGACAGCAGTGTTCGAAATCAAGATATTCAAGTTTGGATTGGGCTCATACATGGCTAATGGTTGTTTTGTCAGTAGTGTATCTGAAATGTCACTTGAACTAGTGGCATCCCTAAAATGTTCTTAAGTATGCTTTTAAATCTTGTCATGTGTGTGCTTATATGCATATATATTTTCCAGAAAAGTGATTGGTAGGATGTTATATTGTTATGTAGCATTTATAGACGATTAGAGACCTGAGATTTTTGAAGTGGTCATAATGTCATCTGTTTTTGGGTCCTGTCACTTTGCTTTCTGGTATTTGCAATTTTGCAAAGTCTGCTAATATTGCCAACATTAATTATTGTTCTTTCTTTCCCTCCTTTTTCTTTTTTTTTGTGTATGTAAGAAGATTCCCCTGGCGCCTCTGCTACTCAAGCTGAAAAGGAAGAGGTGGATTCGCGGTCAATATATGTTGGTAATGTGAGGTTTACAATCCCTTCTCTTGTATAGTTTATTTTTTATATTTCCATGTTGAGTAGATGTATTTTTCATGCGAAGAATGTTTATATTATGCTCACCTTCATGAAATATGTGTCAAACACAAGTTCTCCCACATTTAAATGAGTCCATGTAACATAAGAGTAACCATAGGTGTAAATAAACCAATTTAAGTGATTAATGGTAGTTGTTTATGGGTCATTTTCTCTTTTTATGCTATATCTGTATGTTAATATTTTGTTATTTATTCCTTTATCAATTTCAGTGTCAAAAATTGGTCGGACATGGTCTTCAGATGAACCAGTTTGATGTAAAAATGCACACCCATTGTTCAATTATACTTGATTAACAACAGCACCTGCATGTGGTTTAGCTTAGCTTGAGATATTGGGCGAAGAACCAAATTAGAAAGACATGATAAAGATTGGTCTCATTGTCATTGTCTATGAAATACTCTCAGGGTTTGCTCTTGGTGTCATTAGAAAGCTTCAAGCTATCACTAAGCAAAAATTTTTGCGAAGAATGATTGCTATGCTGTTAGTAGCAAGATGCCAGTATTAAATGATCCACGGCGTCTTGGGTCACTAAATTTTGTTATTTATTTTTGATTCAAGAAAGTGACTTTATTAGATGAGTATTGAGCTATCAAATCATTCTGCAATCATTTCTAATATGTTTTGGAAATTAGTTTTTTTAGGGCAATTTTTTTTTTGTCCCTTGTGCTAGTTTCATACTTAATTATTCCTGTTCTAGTAATTTTTTTATTTTTTATTTTGAAACGTAGAACCCTTCCAACCACCGGCCCTTTGTACTTATAGCTGCCCTGATAGCTGAGAAACATTTCATCCAAGAAAACAAACAACAAAATATAAAAATAATGGAATTGGTTATAAATTATATATCCTAATCGACGGGTGTTAGCCCCTCATTAGTCATTAATAACTTGACCCCTGTCATAATAAGGCTGTTTGGGATAGAATTCTTGAACATTTTCTTTGGTTCCAGAGGGGAAGAGCCAGTCCTACCTTTAATATGGTTAAATTTGAGTTCAAGTTCCACTCCTAATTCAGATGTAGTAGTCCTTGTTCTTGATGTTTTAACAATGCACGTACGGTAATGGCTTAAGGTTTTTATGCCTCTTTTATAGTTTAAGGTGCTTAAGCCCCCTTTAATAGGAATTTTTAATATCCATTGACCAGAGTGAACTGTAAAGTAGGCATGGCAGACTTCAAGTCAATGGTTTTGGTGATCTTTTTTATACTTTATTTTTTATTTTATTGTTTTGATACTTGGTAATTAGTTGATGCAAATTCAACAATTTAGGTAAATGTGTATGTATTTCACTTATGTCGCTTGGAAAAAGAATAAGTTGTTTCTATGTTTGGAACTTTGGTGTAAGTTTCTTAGAAAGCTCTTGTGATGCTGCTGGCCAGCTACTTCTACCATCAGTGATCTTAGTGTACAGTCTAACATTAGGTACCAGTCCTCTTACTTTGGCTCAATGTTTGCCAGTAATTGTTACTCGACAAGATTTCCTTTCAGCCATTCTGGGAGAATAATTAGGTTTTAAATTGTTCATTCTTTCTTTGCGAAGTTGCTAGCATTTCCTGAGACCACATTAGGATTTCAGCAAGATAATAGAGTACTCCTTCGTATATATGATTTGACAACATTGCTCTGACCACAACGGAGAAGAACATTTCAGCTTTCCAGAACCACTTATACTTCTGTGGCATCATTTTCTTCAGTTTTCCTTTAGGATTGATGAGTCCATTGTCATGGAAAATGAACTCCCGAGTATATTTGGGCTTTCCATGGTCTATGAAGCACGGATACGGCGATACGCCAAACGGCCCAAACCTATAAAATAGGACATGGATACAGCAAGGATAGTGTAATAAAATAATAATATAATTATATTATATATAACAATTAATTTTAATCTCAATTGCTGCTTAATTCATAACCCATTTCAATAGGCCCACTAACCATTGAATATTTCTTTTCAACAGCATAGCTGCATAAGGTCCATAAGCCCACCTTACAATAAAATACCAACCCAAAAGAAAAGAAGAAAAAAAAAAACAAAGGTAATCTTTAGATCCAAAAGGTGCATATAATCTTTTTTTTTGATAAGTAGAAATGTATTAAAAACGTTCAAAAGGGGAACGCATCCCAAGAGCTGTACAAGAACCAAGAGCTAAAAAACAAAGAAAGCCTAGGGATCTAAAGACCCCAAAAAGTCCAAAAAGTCCTCAACGGAAGAACAATCTCTCCCCATGCCCCAACTAAAAAGAGAACAAATAATAGAATACTTAAGAGCCCCCGGGTAACTCCTCCCTAGCAAAGGATCTTCTATTGCGTTCTTTCCACAGACACCACCAAATGCAGAGGGGAGTCGCCCTCCAGAAGTTACGAACTTGAGCCCCCACCCTCTGTTCCCTCCGAAGTTACAAACTCGAGCCCCCACCCTCTGTCCCCTCCAAATATCGATAAGACCTCGTGAGGTCCGTCGCATAACCCACTGAACGGCAAAAAGACCCAACATAAGGCTCCAACAGTCGTGGGCCACTGGGCAGTGCAAGAGAAGGTGGTCCACAGACTCTCCATCGGTGATACACAGACAACACCGAATAACAATAACATGTCTCCTCTTCCTCAAATTGTCCACAGTCAGGATCTTGCCCCAAGCAGCAGTCCAAGCAAAAAAAGCCACCCTAACAGGAGCCTTCGAATGCCAAACCGTTTTCCATGGATAAGAGGGGCCTGAAAACTGGAACGACAGAAGAAGAAAGACCGGACCTGAAAAGTCCCCTGCGAAGAAGGCACCCAAGTCAAAAGGTCCGCCCCAGTGCCCTCCATCTCCTGACGATAAAAAAGGTCCAAAAAAGCAAGGCGATAATAGTCAGCAACCAAAGCATGGCAATCCACAGCAATCCTAAACAACCTTGGAAACCATTGACACAAAGGACGTTCCTCGGACCAAGGATCCTCCCAAAACCGGACACTCCGCCCTTCCCGGACTCTGAATCTAACATGCTTAGAAAATTCATCCCAACCCTTCCCAACAGACTGCCACACACCCACGCCGATAGCAGATCTAGCCAATCTAGCAGACCAACCCCCTCTATCCTCCCCAAACCGGCTAGCAACTATCTTCCTCCAAAGTCTATGTCTTTCACTGCCAAACTTCCAAAGCCATTTGCCAAGAAGGGCCCTGTTGAATGGGACCAACCTCCGAATCCCGAGGCCTCCTGACTTAAGAGGCTTGCAAACCTGCTCCCACCGAACAAGAAGATACGTAAACTCATCCCTCCTACCACCCCAAAGGAAGTTACGTTGAATCATCTCAAGTCTCCTGACAACAGAAGATAAAATTGAAGTCCGTCTCTCTTCCTCACCATAACAGACGTCCTCTCTCTGCCCTTCTTCTCCCTTATCTTTTCCATCTCCTCTGGTCTTCCTGGTTTCTCTCACCAAGATCTCAACCAATTTCCACTTTTTCTGAATCTTATCTTTGATCTCTCCTCTCTCTCTCTCCATGATCTTTTCCCTTTCTTTTATATATTGAGAATATATATATATATATATATATATATATATATATATATATATATATATATATCATCTTCTATCTCTGTAAAGAAGGAGAAAAAAAAAAAGTTTTAACTAATAGCTGTGTCTTGCTGTGTCTGCTGCTGTGTCGGTTACATATTTTGGGGGGAAAAAATTAGGACACGGCTGAAACGTATCGGACACCGGTATGTTTCCTCCTTCAGCCGTGTCGGTGCTTCGTAGTCCATGGTCTTGTTTGTTCATGTTAAAGGATATAAATCTTAGGTTGCAGCTTTCTTAATAATTTAGGCTTTTTGTGTAGATGGTTTTTAACATGATATTAGAGCACTCAAGATCCCAAGTGTAAGTCTCAGTACCACCTTGATTACTATAATCAATACACACGTTGAACCACTCATGAATGAAAAGTATTGCCAGTGCAAGTGTTGGAGATATAAATAATAAGATTATGCCCTCTCTAATAGCTTTACTTTTGGAGATGATGGTTGTCGACACGGTAACATGGTATCGAAGCTTTGATTTTGGAAAGTTTTGGCCAGCTACTTCTACTATCAGTGATCTTAGTGTACAGTCTAACATTAGGTGCCAGTCCTCTTACTTTGGCTCAATGTTTGCCAGTAATAGTTACTCATCAAGATTTCCTTTCAGCCATTCTGGGAGAATAATTAGGTTTTAAATTGTTCATTCTTTCTTTGCAAAGTTGCTAGCATTTCCTGAGACCACATTAGGATACCAAGATAATAGAATACTCCCTATTATATATGATTTGACAACATTGCTCTGACCACAATGGATAAGAACTTTTCAGCTTTCCAGAACCACTTGACTTCTGTGGCAACATTCTCTTCGGTTTTCCTTTAGGGTTGATGAGTCCATTGTCATGGAAAATGAACTCCTGAGTATATTTGGGCTTTCCATGGTCTTGTTTGTACATGTTAAAGGATATAAATCTTAGGTTGCAGCCTTCTTAATAATTCAAGCTTTTTGTCTAGATGTTTTTTAACATGATATTAGGGCACTCAAGATCCCAAGTGTAAGTCTCACTACCACCTCGATATCTGTAATCAATACACACGTTGGACCACTCATGAATGAAAAGTATTGCCAGTGCAAGTGTTGGAGATATAAATAATAAGATTATGCCCTCTCTAATAGCTTTACTTTTGGAGATGATGGTTTTCAACACGGTAACATGGTATCAAAGCTTTGATTTTGGAAAGTTTTGGGTGTAATTCAAGCTTTTTGTGTAGATGTTATTTAAGCACCCAAGATCCCAAGTGTAAGTCTCACTTCACCTCGATATCTGTAATCAATGCAGGAAAAGTATTGCCAGTGATTCAGAGTGCTCGAAATCCTAAGACAAAAGGAAAGAACCAAGACCTAAACAAGGAATATAGCACTCCCGCGAAGAATGTGCTAACGCGTAGCAAAGCAAAGAAAGGCTCCTTTGGATATCTTTCTATAGTATATATCTTTCTCTCTTGAGATAGAAAGGGAATCGGCAGCTAGCAATAACTTAGAAAAGAGGCTAGAGACCATTGCTACTTTTAGAAAGGGTACGAAAGCTTGAACTTCTAGGCTACGTTTTAGAAACAATAGCAACACAGAGCAGAGCGCAACAGACACTCGAGGCAAAGAGCCTCGGTGAGACCTAAGCCTATAAGACTGGATACTCCTCCTAGGCTAGTTGGCACAGGGTTTTCGCTTGATACACCAAGTTAGATAGTGTGGGAATAGCTTGATCCTTAAATGATCTTGGCCAGCTGCTTCGCCAATCTGACCAAAAGAGGCCCTTATCACGTAGCTTCACCTCAAGTTCAAAAGAATGAAACATCGTTCTTTTCTTTGAGCCCATTTCCCCTTTGCTTTCTCTTATCCCTAATCGTCTTGCATTTCTTCGAAGAAGTTGCTGTACTATTTGACCATATTTCGTATCCCATTTCAAGTTGATTCAGACTTGTTTTATAATCTAAATATGCTTCTTGTTCCGAGTAGACCACTATTAAGCTTGCTTGAGGTTACAACTTTTCTCACATTGGGAAATTTCCTTTATAGCATCACCCTATTCTTACCTTGGGCAACTAACTTAGCCTTATTTCTTCTAACAATGAGCTCAGAGCACGAAGAGCTGCGGCTCGCTCTGAGCCGGTAGCCGCCGGCTGAGGCCCATTCTTCACTTTTCAAGAATGAAGAGGGAACGTAAGCATGGGGGGAATGTTTTCTTTATCCAACCAAGTGTTGGAGATATAAATAATAAGATTATGCCCTCTCTAATAGCTTCACTTTTGGAGATGATGGTTGTCAACACAGTAACATGGTATCAAAGCTTTGATTTTGGAAAGTTTTGGGTGTAAGTCTCCACGTTTTTATCTATTTCCTCGTTTGTGTGCAAGTTTACATTTTTTTCAGCGTATCTACTTGCCTTTCTATATAGAAAACTGGATCTCACATGAGGGAGGGTGTTATAGAGCTCGATAAACATTGTTGGGCTCATTCCTTAATAGCTGAAGCCTTTGGGGTAATTGACAGTCATTCTAAAACCTTCTGTTTGAAGGATACCTGGTTGTTAGTGGGAAATTTTAACCACTCTTGCCTCATCAACTAACTGTTACATCAACACATGACAGAGTATCTTCTTTGGACTTGCAGTCGGTATAATCTGTAAAATATATAAAAAATAATGTGCTCGAGTTAGCCCCTGATGCAACTTTATTGCTGCTGGAAATTAGTTAATTTTTCATGGAATTGTACTTACTGCAATTCCATTACATTTTTTAATTGCTTTATGCATCTACTTGTCAGATGTGTTTGAGACAATAAAGACATTTTCTTGTAGATGGAGGCAAATTAAAAAAGCACCAGATTTCAATCTTGGATTCATGAAGTATACAAGGAAAAAAACTGAAGGACTAAACCAAAACCCTACACGGAGGCTACCCCCTGCAACCTCTCGCATCATAATCATTAGATCTATACATTTCTCAAGCTCTATCTCATATTTCGAAAGTCCTGCTCTCTTTTTCTTTGGCCCTTCATCCCCCATGCAATTTTCTCAGATAATACCATCATTTCATAACAGGGTTTGAGTACTTCACTACAATTATGGTTCATGACAATCCATAACCTATTATCATGCACAAAAATCTGCAGTAAAACTCTCTTATTTCTTCTTCTTCTACTTAATTAGATTTCCTGAATAAGTCGAGCTGTTCGTGAACAGCTAGGCTCAACCATGGACTCATTTATCTAGGAGATGATCAGAGCCCAAGCCTTGTACTGAAGCTTGATGAATAAACAAGCCAAGCTCGATAAGGCCATTGGCTCATTTGAATCCATGGATACGGTACTGGGCTTAGCACGCAATTTCTTCAAGTATAACATCATATATTTGTTGAAATATTTAATTTGATAATTATCAATCCAAATTTGATAATCAGTCTATTAACAAATCAAATATGGACTCTGGTCAATTCAATCTTCTAACAATCCAATCCGACCTAACTTGATATAACATGTGTGCATTAATTTTTATAGTTAGCTTAGTATGTGATATAAAAATTAATGAAAATGTTGCATACATAATAAAATAGTGGTCTCTTATATATACCATACTCTTAATTATCTCAGTTGTTTCCTCATTTCTTTTTTTCTTCCTTCCCTCTCAGTTTATTGCCGTATTGACTTTTTCGTTAACGAAGAGTCAAAGGCTTAATTTTCTTCTTCTCTCTCTCTAATTAATTTTGGTCCTCACTCTGTCTCTTATCTTTTTTAAATATTTATTTGTCCATCTCTTTTGACACTGAATTTTGTTACATAAATTAGACCCATTAAGATATCGGGTTATTAGATTTGATATTTGATAAACAATAAATCGGATATGGATTCATCCGTTGGATTATTGGATCAAACCAGGTAGTAAAAATTCCTTATCAGATTCGGATCTTGATCCAAACTGAATTTTTTAGTTTACAGGTCTGCATATGATTTTGATATTAATGAAATTTTGGTTGTGAAAAAATAATAATAATAATAATTGATCTTATTTTTCCATATTCATTTGGATTGTGTTTGTATTGTGAAAAGGAAAATGTATGAGGAGCTATTATGGTTAATGAAAGGCTTTGATTCAGTCATACTAAGGATCTATGCTCAATTGTAATTGAAACAAGTTATGTATGAGGAATTTAGTTAGATGGAGTCAGTTTAGTTTGTTAATTTCAAGTTTAATGTGGCTTTGGTGGCTTGGAATCCATTATTATTTTTATTATTGAAACCATTTTCATTGTCTTTCATATGTTTCTGGGTTTTGATGCTTATCTACTAGGGCTAAACATTGTCTAGGAGTGAGTGATAATCAATTTCCTCTTTATTCTATTTTAAACTCCAGGTAGACTATGCATGTACACCTGAGGAAGTCCAGCAGCATTTCCAATCCTGTGGAACAGTTAATAGAGTGACAATATTGACAGACAAATTCGGTCAGCCCAAAGGATTTGCCTATGTGGAGTTTGTTGAAATTGATGCTGTTCAAAATGCTGTTCTTTTAAATGAATCTGAGCTCCATGGCCGTCAGTTGAAGGTTTTCAAACTATGATGGTTGAAGTCAGTAACTTTGAAAGACTCTGCTTTCACTTTTTTAATTATGGTGGTTGGTTTTGTTTTCCTGCAGGTATCTGCTAAACGAACTAATGTTCCTGGAATGAAACAGTATAGGGGCCGCCGCCCCAACCCATATTTTGGCTTTCGCTCCAGAAGACCCTTCATGCCTGGACCACCTTTCTATCCTCCATATGCTTATGGGTAAGCGTTATAAATACTTTGTGCTTTTTGGTGCTTATCTTCTCTTTTCTCCACCATATTGGTATTCAACTCTTCCTTACTAGGATCAGATTCAGGGATGTTTTAAAAAATAAGAGATTAGATCCTAAGGAAGACTAGAGCGCTTCTCTTAGAAACTTTTTACCGGCTGTAGTAACAACCAACATTAATGAGGCTATCCAAACTCCCGTCTTAAGCTTTAATACCCTCGGGAAATTTGAAAGAGAAAGAGAACCTTTAGAAGGAAGCTAAGTGGCCGATATAGGGTAAGTATAATTCAGTGCTAAGAGTGTTAGAAAAATTATGCTCAGAAAACAATAGGAAGGATTATAGTGCTGACAGTGGTTTCAATGAGCAAACAAATACTTTATTGAACGTTCTCAAGAGGCCTTTCCTTTTACTTTCTAGGGAGTTATAGTGTCCATTCCAAGTGAATTCAATATGACAAGCAAACATAATTGAAATCAGGATGCAGGAAGATTGCGAGCTAGAAAAATAAATTTTCCTCTATTGACAATGTTTGGTCCCTAACATTGCATTTTATTTTGGTTATTTGATTAGTTTTGGACACTTAAAATCACTTTAGAATTTCAAGAAACATACACATGGCGCATACATTAAAAGTTAAGAAAACTCATCTCTGATGTTGTTGTTTGATTTCCTTCATCTAAGTTAATGCCAACAACACCACCTTTCTCCCCTTTCCTGGTCATCGTTTGGTGGAAAAGTACTATAATCTCAGGGTGGGGTTTTTGAAGCTAACTTTTTCATTAATTTACTTGGCACTGTACCCTTCACAACGTTATCATAAAAGTCACATCATGCATGCTATGGAATGTTGAGTCTTAACCTCATCCTTCAGTCCTTCAAAGCTTGGGTGAAGAAGGCTATGAGCCTATGGGTTATTCTAGGTTTTTTAGTGCATAGTCTGTTTCATTTGCTTCTCTCTTCAGTGTAGTTTTGTACTGTCCTTATGTTTTGTCCAAGACTCTATTTTTGTTTTTCTTCCCTTGGTTGATATGGAATTTTGTGAAGAAGGTCCCATATTATAATTGTGTCACCATCTATTTATGATCTTGGCATCATTATTAACTCTATTATTCAATCGGGAGGAACCTTTTGGATATGGGGACTATGGAAAACACCAAAGTTATATTTGTGGACTTCCAATCTTTTATCTAAGAGCCAGAACCTTCATCCTCTAATTTATGGAACATTGAGACTGAAGAAGGTTTTACTTGTAGAGAATTTGACGAGTTTTGTCAAATTCTACTGCTTCTCAACCAAGTTCTAGCCTAGGAAATTGTTGTATCGAGAGATTATGGATGAGATAGAATTTGTATCTAATTATTCGGTTTGGAACGATGTCAGGCTAGAGGATATCTTGTGTTTGTCATAGGAACTCTGTAGGAAAATCTGTAGACCTGGAAAGTCAAGTGTAACCCTAGGAAGCTATGTTTTTTTATTAATAACATAGAATGTCTTTCACAGTTCGTGATAGTAGATGCGTCTGGTTTTGGGAAGATCTTTAGTGTGGGGATCAGCCAATATTTTGTACTATTCCCAGATTATACAGTATTGCAGTTGATAAATATGCCTATGTAGCTGACTGTTATCGGCTTGATAATAGTGGGTTTACGTGGAATGTGCATTTTCGGTGTTCATTTCAGGATTGGGAGTTGAACGAGGTGAGTATTTTTCTGGACCAATTGTATCGGCAGGAAGGAATTGGCAGGGGGAAAGACAATTTGACATGGATTCCCTCTTCTCACAATCGTTTTAAAGTGAGATCCTTGTTTTTATGTCTGTCTAATTTTGTCAGATTTGAATTCCCATGGAAGACCATATGGCGCTCCTCGACACCTACTAGGGTGGCATTCTTTGTGTGGACAGCTGTTTGGGGTTAGATTCTGACGATTGATAATTTACGGAAGAGGGGAAATTGTATTGTTAATTAGTGTTGCCTTTGCAAGCAAGATGGGGAATCTGTTGATCATCTCCTAATGCATTGCCCTGTGGTGCACGATTGTTGAAATCTTATTCTTGGTTTGTTTGGCATGTGTTGGGTAATGCCCCGTTCTACTAAGGATTTGATTCATGCTTGGATAAGATGTCATGTGAGTAGGGGTGTTCGCGATTCATGGAGAACTGTCCCACATTGTGTTTGGTGGTGCATTTGGAAAGAGAGAAATAGTAGAATGTTTGAAGGAAATGAGTCATCTACGGTGACACTGAAACTTATTATTATTCGTTCTCTCTTTAGTTATGTGAAGAGGAGTTTTTGCTCCTCTTCTGATGATTTAATTACTTTTCTGGATTCTTTGGGACCTTAGTCCCTAGATCATCTCATGTTTTAGGGACGCGTTCCTTTTTTTAACGCCCTTTTTAATTTATTATTACTTATCAAAAAAAAAAAAACATAGAATGTCTTTCACCAAGTAAAAGCAATTGGACTCGAGTATCCCAATGAATATCATTGGTTTGAAGGTTGGAGGTGTCCATAGTTAAATAGTTGTTAAATTAGATTGCATGGAGTCTTCTCCTTGAGACTGACTAGCCCTGATCTTTTTAGCGCTTGAGCAGATAAAAATAATTTATGTTGAAAAGACTTTCCTGTTGATCTAGTTCATTGAGGACAAGAAATGATTCCATTTGACATCATTTGGGTCTCCAGGAGGTCACTGATCATATGGGATATTTCATATTTGTATTTTTAAGATTTTGGAGAGACATTTGATTCTGTTTAAATGTCTATGTAACCCAAGAAACATTCCAATAATTTGCTTTGTGGCTCTTGTTCACTTATGTAGAAATAATTTGAGCATTGTATCAAATTTAAAAAGGTTTCAAGTCCTTACTTTTGTTTCTGCTCTAAAGTTTAGAGGGAACTTAGGTGTTAACTGTTAAGACGTCAGAGTAGAAGAATGAGGTGTTAGGACACTAGTGTCAGAAATTTCAATGGTTGTGTACAATCTTTTTGGTATTAATATCTCCCATGGTGCATCTATTAATTGTTTGAATATATTCAGAGTGCATTTTTCATGCATCATTTCCCAAAAATGGGACCACTATTTACCTTAATATTTGTTCTAGAAAATCTTCGTAAACCCATTTTGGATAACTTCCAATTCTTCTCTCTTCTTTTTTCTATCAAACAGCAGAGACCCTTTTTTCGTCAGTTTATTTTGTTGGAAGTAGGTGTTTGTTATTAAAATGTTTCATTAAAAATGTATCATAACTGCTATGTATGTTGTTGAGGGCATGGGAGAATGTCTGACTCTTATTCCTAGTTTTCTCCCAAGACTGTTCTCTTGCCTTTGGACTTTAGTGATTCCTCCTTATTAAGTGCATGGGCTGTTTAATCAAAGAGTGGTTCAGCTGCATCTACCTAGTAGTTTTTATGTCTTCTTTTATTGTTTGAACAATCATGAAATTGGAAAACTTATCAAAAATTTACTGCAAATTAAACTTAACAAAAAGTAATGTTAATTTTGAAAGGAAAATGATTTTTTGTCCATGTATGTGCTTTATGGGCCATACATCTCCCACATATTTTAAAATTGATTTTGAACTCCCTTGGTTTAGTGTTTGATCTTTTTTTGAAAAATTTTGAAAAACGAAGGAAGGAAAATGATACACATAATATGTCTGGATGACTTCAAGAACTACGAATATGTGCTAAATAGACTAGCTTTTTGCTTGTCCAGAACGTGAAAAAGAATGAAGAAGTATAAGGTAGATTTGTAAATAATCGTTTCATAATAAAATTCAAAGAAATTACAAAAATCAATTTTACTTATGTCTTTCATAAAAATCAGAAGATTGCAGTTTCACCAATTTACAGAATCATATTAAATCTCCTTTAATTTAAGATTTGATGGCTTAATTTTCCAAAGGAATTAGTAGAAGGTTTTGAAGGTCTGTGTGCTGGTTTGGGCTTTGAAAACTTTTAAAACTTTACGTTGGCACTGCAGTAGTGCTATATGTATCTATAGAATTAAGGATGCAATGAGAGGTGGGTTTTCTGGGTACTGCACTCAATGCAACCCCATTAGGACAGGTTTGGAGTGCAGGATTAGGACAGGTTTGGAGTGCAGGATGGAACATTACATCCGATTTCCTTTTTCTGTAGCGTGTACTTGTCCAGTTGGTATTTTTGTGTGTTCTATTTTATCATTAACGCAACCTACTCGATTGCTTTTGTTGCTCCTTGCTCTAAAGGGGTAAAACGAGTGTTGTTTTTTGCATTGAGCTGTCCTTCGCATTTACAATTCATCTTGTTAGACGAGGAAATATTTATTGAACTATTTTATCTTGTGCAGAAGGGTTCCAAGGTTCAGGCGTCCTGTGCGGTACAGACCATACTGAAGATCAGGGATCTTGTTTGACTCGCTGCCTAAGTTGTAAAGCAGCAGTTGCCATGTTCGGCTTATGATGGTTATATCTATTATTCTGTAATGTGGAGGGTCATTTTCCTTGGCACTTGTACCATCATTTGCATGCTAAAAAGATCGACTTATTTAATTTCCCCATTTTGTCCTGGAGGTAATAGTTTTATGTTCTTTAGTTGCAGGCATTTACTTGCTCTAGAGATAGAGAGAGTCAGATAAACAAATATTTGTCGTAGTCAAAAACATTCCCAGATATTGTGTTCTCTTGAATTCTTAGATACATGTGAATTCAAAGTCTGTGATTGGACATTTTAAGTTTCTTAGATTGTTGTAGATCACTGATTTCGTTCTTTGCTTGGATAGGATTCAGTGAGGGCAATTCGCTCTGGTTCGTATGATGCACAGCATTCTTCAATATGACCATGAAACTGGTTTTCCATCAATGTGGATTTTCGTGAGAATGAATTGAAAGTTCATTTTACATTTAAATGGAATAAAATGCTTCTATTCTAGGGTTTGGAGGGATTCCATTTTCATGTTGAACCTTCCGAATTGAAGGAATCGGTGGAAACTGGTTTTCTATCAATGTGGATTTTGGTGAGAATGAATTGAAAGTTCATTTTACATTTAAATGGAATAAAATAGGTTTGGAGGGATTTCATTTTCATGTTGAACTTTCGGAATTGAAGGAATCGGTGAGTTTAAAATATTAAAAATGAAGCATAATAAACGATGATGTTCACTTTCACTCCCATCTTTTTGTAGGGGTGGACCTGTGAAGCGTAGAAGTTTTGGTTTAGGGTGGAAAAGCTTGATTCGAGTTCATTTTGGGAGGTCGATAGGGTCTCAAAAAAATTCGAAGGTACATCACTTGTTAAATTTGTAAAAATTGGAGAATTTATCGAAATGTGCTCATGCAAATTTCATATCTATTATTTCAAATTTCATATATTTTTATATGGTATTTTGCATTAAAATACCTCCAAATTTGAGCTTCGGCTTAAAAACTGTACCAAGCCAAAAAATTGTTATTTCTAAAAAACTTTATTTATTATTATTATTGTTAAACGCAACTAAAAGAGAATGTTCAAATTAGTAAAGCATTAATTGCCAAACGGTCACTTACTATTTGTAAAATTGGTATTTTTTATGAACAATATTTAAGTGCTAAACGGTCACTTACTATTTGTAAAATTGGTATTTTTTATGAACAATACTTAAGTGCTCACGAGTTGGAATGTACACCGTCTTTATTGTTGATGTAGACCAATAAAATATAATCTTTCATTTGATAAATGAGTATGTATCATATCTTAAACATGGCGTATTTATTTATTATTGGTCCACATCAAGTGATGACGTACATATTGTTTATTTTTTATTATAATATTTTAAGAAAAATTGTGATCCATTGGCTGAGGACTGCATAAACCATATAAAATGCTACTTGATCTTATCATTTTTTTTTAAGATTGAAGTTGTCTCTACTACACACTATTCTAGATTATTTGGCTTAAAAATTACTAAACATGAGTGAGTCTACCTCTCATCTAAGTTCTTCAAATAAATCCCATGACATTTTGATCCACTTTTGTTGATTGAAATTTTAAAAAATAATAATAATAATTAAGAGTAATGATATTTTAATCGAGAATTTGAACCCAAATTTTTTTATCGAACACAATTTATTAGCAAAAAATAAAAAAATATGAATCTCACTTTCTTATATTTTACATATTCATACATTTAAGTTACTGGTAAAATTCTCGTTTTAAAAATAATTTCTTTTTAATTTTAGTTATTGAAATATAAGTACTTTAGTACTTCCTCTTACTTAAAATAAATGTCATACTTTTTTTTCTTTTTTTTTGTCCCAAAAAAAAATAGTCCAATTTCTTTTTTTAAACAATATATTTCACATCTTTTTATATATGTAGTTTGAATTTAAAATTTTAAATTTGAATATTCAAAACATAGAAAAAAAAGTTAGTAACTTTTGAGGAATATAATTTATATTTCACATGTCATCTTAAAAATTACTATTCACTTAAATCAAGATAGATGACACTTAAATTAGGACGAATGATTTTCATATAAAAGTTCAGATATGACGTGGGCGACAGCTACCTTTCTACAGTAGCTGTCTCAGTTTGACTATAATGGATGAGCTGTCACCTTTTTTAATATCCATGTCATTTTCTAAAACGCGGCGAACCACGCATGTTGTAGCACTTTAATTATTGCCAGCGCGGCGTCTCGCAGACGTTTAAAAGGTTATAATCACCTTCACCGGACTATAAAAAATACGTTTTTTTTTTTTAAGCATCTTAAGCCACGTGGAAAACGTTAATTGACTTTAAGGGTAATTGGTTTCATTTTGAACCGTTGGAGATGCTTTAGGTCGTCCGCACAGCCCAATATTGCATGTCACGACTCACGAGGGCTTCTAGATAAACATTGACTAATTAGTTCTTAATGCTCCAAATCTTATCCCTTTTCTCATTTAACAGAGAATCAAAACCTGAAACTCTTCAGCCGGCCATTTTTATATGTACACGTGTATATATATTATTTATATATATTATTTATATATATACATTATATGGAGGGAAATGGATTAAAGAGGGAGAGGGTGGTGTTCCAAAATTACCCCTTCATTTTCATTGAGGGTTGAAACATATAGTGCGAGAGAAATAAGTTTAAAGGTTTTTATTAAGGGTTTATAATACTCTTCAAAATAAGTGTCATATATATATATATATATATATTTATCTATTTTTTATTTAAACAATATATTTAATATATTTTTATATATGTATTTTGAGTTTAAAATTTCGGACTTGAATATTCAAAATTTAAAAAGACAAGTTATTAACTTTCGAAGGACAAAATAGATCTTCCCCGTGTCTCATTAAAAATTACTAGTCCATCATAAGTTATACTTAAATGGAAATGGAGGAGTAATATCTTTCGTGAGTTAAAGTAGTAAATTGATTCTTACAGAATTTAAGAATACTTGAATTTAAATAATACCTATCATTTGTGAATAATTAAATATATTCAAAATTTAAGTTTGATAACAATTAAAAAAAATTAAGTTAAAACTTAAAATGCACATAAGTCTTACTATGTCTTTCCTAATCAGAGTAATAATAAATAAAAAAATTCTAAATTACTTTATGCCGAAATTTACCATGCGTAATCTATTGAGACCTATTTCAGAAAATAAATAAATAATTAATTAATTAATTAATAGTGCTGATACTTAAATTATTGCTCTTTATGTTATCTTTAAAACAGAAGTTTACTGGCAAGGGGTTTTCTTGTAATTTGATAAGTAGTTGCATAATTTGCATTGTTGGCCTGGTGGCTCAGGCCGAAACCGTGCCCAAACTCCAACATTTCTGTTATCGATCTCATCTGTGATTATCTAACCAACTCCCCGTCCAAGTCACACCCAGCACAGATGTTCTCTCTCCATACTATATAAATAGGCGTATACTTCATCTTCACCAAACAGTTCAAATTCCTTTAATTTTGGACAGATTGAGCCATTTTAGCTTCTGGGTGTTCTTTGTTTTCATTGATATAAACACAATCATGAACGCTCTCGCCGCCACAAATCGCAATTTCCGCCATGCTGCTCGCATTCTTGGGTTGGACGCTAAGCTCGAGAAGAGTCTTTTGATCCCATTCAGAGAAATCAAGGTAAAAGAGCTTGTTGTGTCTTTCAGTTAATGGGTTCTTTTGTTTTTTTTTTTTTTTTTTTCTTTCTTTTTCTTGAGAATTGGCAGAGAGATTTGATCTTGAGGTTTCAATTTGATCAGGTAGAGTGCACGCTTCCTAAGGATGATGGAACGCTGGTGTCGTACGTTGGATTCAGAGTCCAACATGATAATTCCCGAGGGCCAATGAAAGGAGGGATCAGATACCATCCTGAGGTGATTGCTATGTTTCTCTTGAATTTTGTCTTTTTTTTGTTTGATGATTTGGTTGTTTCGTGTAGAATTGGTTTTGGGTTTTTGGGTTTTGGGGTTTTAGGTCATTGAGACCTCTTGATTGATCTTGATAAAGTTTGATTTACTTAAGGCGTGTTTGGATGTTCTGTGTAGCAATTCAGTGTAAAAATCCAATCCTATTAGCAAAGAATGGAGGTATCTGTTTTGTGCAAACACCCTTTTTCTATGTTGTAACTGGTTGCTTGAAACAAGATTGTTCGCATTGTTTGATTTCATATTCTTAGAATTTGCATAAAATAGTTACCTATTAGTGGTTATTTTGATCCACAAATTTTATACATTATGCTATTAAGATCAGCATAATTGCGTCTAGAGCTGAAATCATATTAAGTGAAACATTTGGATTTCTGATACTTCGGGTTCTATTTAATTGATCTACTAAGGCATTACAAAAGTTCTGATTTCGGTGCATTGTATTCAACAGTTTCAGTGGAATTACTTTATAATCTAGCCGTATGCCAATTGACGAAAATATTGTTTACCTAACATGCTCTGCGCTAACTTTCACCTGATGTTGATATTAATTGAAAAAAGGGGAGGCTTTAAAGTGCTTGATTATGACATCTAAACCATTGAATTAAGGTTTGGTAGAAAATGATGACTTTGGCTGTTCAGTAGATGATGTTTCTCCTATAGTGATCAGTTCTAATGGTAAGTAACTACTGGGGCTATTATATCATAGCTTCTAAAAATTCATCCCTTTCAGACTGTGAAAGCATCTGGAATCAGAAATAAAATTTACAGAAAAGGTTTATATTAAAGTCATTTTCATTGAAAGTCGGATTTTTTTGTAAGTTTAATATATGCATCCATCACATATCTTCTGGATTTGTGCAAATTTTCTGGGAGTTGCTTCACATGGATTTTCTTTCTCTGATTCTTTTTTTATTAGGTCGACCCCGATGAGGTAAATGCTCTGGCTCAATTAATGACTTGGAAGACTGCTGTAGCAGACATTCCATATGGTGGAGCTAAGGGTGGAATTGGGTGCACACCAAGGGAGCTAAGTAAGAGTGAATTGGAGCGCCTTACTCGTGTCTTCACTCAAAAGATTCACGATCTTATTGGAGTTAATACGGATGTCCCAGCACCAGACATGGGAACTAATGCCCAGGTTTCATAATCCTTGTTGATTGTTTTGGTGTTGTCTAATTTTCTTGAAATGTCTTACCTTCGTGAAGCTAAAATATTATGTGTTACAAAAAACTGTAAATCTTAACAGACTATGGCATGGATTTTGGATGAGTACTCGAAATTCCACGGTTACTCTCCGGCTATAGTGACTGGAAAGCCCATAGTAAGTACTCAAGACTGAAAACTTATAGTATATTTTCATAGATTTAAGATGATATACTGCAAGACAGAAAGGAACAGATCATTACCTCTCTCCCAAAGACACCTAACTAATGTGCATTGTAGGATCTTGGTGGCTCGCTGGGTCGGGAGGCTGCAACTGGTCGTGGCGTTGTTTTTGCCACAGAGGCTTTACTTGCGGAGTATGGGAAGTCAATTAAGGATTTAACTTTTGCTATTCAGGTAAATTTGACACTAACTTTTTTTTGGTCAATTTCAAGCCGTTCTGTAGATTCTTCTGCCATGTTAATGTACATTTTTTATAGAAATTATGCTGATAAAGGAAATATACATTCTTTTAGGGCTTTGGAAATGTCGGATCTTGGGCTGCAACGCTTATTCATGAGAGGGGTGGTAAGATCGTTGCAGTGAGTGACGTCACTGGAGCAGTTAAGAACCCAAATGGGATTGATGTTCCGGCTTTGCTTCAACATAAAGAAACAACAGGGAGCTTGGTTAACTTCAATGGTGGAGATGCCATGGATCCCAATGAATTGCTGGTACATGAATGTGATGTTCTCATCCCATGTGCTTTAGGTGGAGTTCTGAACAGGTTTGTCCCTTGTTTTGCTGAAAAACCCGATACTTGCAACTAATGCTTCTTGTTAAATCATTGCATGTTGTTGATTGCTACTGCTACCTTGTTACACAGTAATCTGCTTTCCTTTTTCCTATCTACGCACAGACACAGCCCAATTTTTTTTTTCAAGTATCATCCTTTATTAAGTACTCGACATTAGATCCAATCTAAATGGATTGAAAAACATTGCTATGTTAAGAACCTCAACTGATCTTAATTTCATCTATTCATATTCTCCTTGGAAGAGAAAATGCTGGAAACGTGAGGGCTAAGTTTATCATTGAAGCAGCAAATCATCCTACTGATCCTGAAGCAGATGAGGTGACATTACTTTGAATCTTTTCACTTTCTGTTGGATGAAGTGTACATTTTCTGAAACATGAGTTACTGTTGGTGCAGATTCTATCTAAGAAAGGAGTCATAATACTCCCTGATATCTATGCCAATGCTGGAGGCGTGACTGTCAGCTATTTTGAGTGGGTTCAGGTAAAAGACAAACACACCACTTGGTAACTCCTATGAAGTAAAGATACATTATTTTCAACAATTTGATCTCGTGATGCTATTTGAAAATTACTGTAATTCCTTTGATCAAAAGAAGGTCTTATCTTTTTTATTGGTGCCAACTTCAAAAGTTTATCAAATGATTGTAACACGTTACAATTAATTTTGCTCTTCCAGAACATTCAAGGTTTTATGTGGGACGAAGAGAAGGTGAACAAGGAGCTTCGGAGGTATATGACAACAGCATTCCATAACATCAAGAACATGTGCCAGACTCACAATTGTAACCTCCGAATGGGTGCCTTCACGCTGGGGGTGAATCGGGTGGCACGTGCCACAGTGTTAAGGGGTTGGGAAGCATGATTTTCTTTCCTCTCTTTCTTCAGATAAATTGCCTGTTGCAGCTATTGAAGGCAAAGCTTGGTACCCATTCTGATTCTAGTCTAGGTTTTCTTCTGTCCTTGTTGATTTACTGAAATTTCACAAACATTGATCATTGTACTATTTGGGGTAACCATTTAAATGAGCTTGATCATTGTACTATTTGGGGTGTCCATTTTAATGATAATAACTGTGGCATTCCATCAATTTGTTTTGTGATTCACTTACTACTGTAAAGATTAGGCTGGTAACTGTGTGTGATTTGCACTATAGAACCTTTGTATCTTTCAGCAAAAGCCACCCCTTATGGGTTATTTCCAAACAGTCATATTTGAGTGGCTATTCTAATTGGTTTATTGTGATGTTCTTGTCATACTTAAAATGGCCAAGTTAAAATTTTAGTCATAATGATGTGCTTCCAATTTAATTTGGGGACATTGTGCCAAATTTAAATATATGCTTTCAGACTTTTGTGACTTGCCTGATTCTGCAATTTTTTGTCTGGTTGTAATATATCTTCAAATTTTTGAAGACCAAATTTAGAAGTAGATATAGATGAAAAAAGTAAGAGGAAAAGATGCATATTAATTGCAAAGAATGGACCTCTCCCTCACTTTTTATCCTCTAATATTGAATAAAACCACGTAATTATGTTTGGTCGGAAGGAAGGAAAGACAATGAAGAAGCAACAAGCATCATCTCTCGTAACTCATGTTTTTGGAATGTTTTTTATCAATTCAAAATTGGGCACAAAAAATGAGTGAAACAGAGAAAAACTACCATACAAATATGTAATACTAATTTAAATCTCTAAATGTTTACAAAATCACTTGTTAAACCCTACTAAGATTATCACATACATAAAAAAAGGCAATATTGAAGGAAAAAAAAAGGCATTACTACAACATTCATCTATTATTTTTACTATTTTGCCCCTAAAATGTCTCATCCATACCTACCCCCTCTTCCTTCCACCCTTTTCTTTTCATCCCTCTAATCAAACGGAGCATAAAGTTCGATAGAAACCAATAACAACTATTTAAGATATGCCTTTCAAAAATATATGTGTGTGTATATATGTATGTATATATATATATATTTAGGATACATATCAATGGCTTCTCGTTTGGAACAACAGCCCATGATCTCAACAACTTTGGACTGGGAAGGCCACAAGGGTCCTACTAGGTTTACACATTGCCAAAACATGGGACGTCCATGAAAAAGCTGAGTGTGACCTTCTGTGTGCTGAAATTTTGTTCATTGAGCAATGAAAGAACTGGTCACGGAGGATCATATTATGTTTGTCAATTTCATGTAATCATGTGCAGGGACGAAAAGCTACCACACAAATATATGCAATGAAATTTTATTTATTTTTTCAACATATATACATGTGCATGCACAAGTATATAACGCGCGGACCGAGATGGTGTTGAACTATTATGACTAAAATGCATCATCTCTGGTAAAAACACACACATATCATTAGCTGGAAATTATTAATTTTCTTGATAATTTATAAATTGTAACTACAAGTTAAAAAAAATAATAATTATTATTATTAATTTTAATTATTTTAGTATAATTAGACTTTTTCAAATTTTACTCTAAAATCACGTATAGTGAAACATTTAGTAATTATCTCGACTCAAAATGCCAAGTGAAACAAGATTGAAATTTGATTTATTTTGAAAAATGAGTTTGTAAAATAGGTAACTCATACCATAATCACCTCTTTTATTTAGATATATATATATATATATATATATATATATATATATCTAAATAAAAGAGGTGATTATGGTATGAGTTACCTATTTTACAAACTCATTTTTAACAAGAAATTTACATATGTACCTTTCTTTTTTTTTTTCTTTTTTTTTTTTTTTTCACCAACAAACAGATACATACTTTGTTTGACATCCTTTATGTATAAACTTCAAAAAAAATTATGTATGAGCCCTTGCTTAAATTTTTTTTTATAAGATGAATCCAATTGAAGTATCACATCCCCCACTTACCAAAATTTGAACATCAAAAATGTTATGGACAATTTCCGAAGGAGACAAAATGAGCATACTTTGCTGGGTTCAAAATATCCAATGGGCCTGTATTCTACTAAAATAAGCCAGGTGCGTCACAACCTCTAAATAAGATTAATCGTCTCGGCTACTAGACTTACCTACCACTAGTCCCCGCTTGGATTCACCCACCAGCGCAAATTAGCGCACTACCACTTTGTCAATAGCTTCATTTTAGTTTCATGTATGTACACAGTACACCATCTTACAACTTTCTTCGATCTCTCTCTCCAGATGCATAAAACTTCCTTTCTCTCTCTAAAATGACTGCTCTCTCCAAGACCTTGTCCTCCTCTTCTCCGCCGTCTCCGCCACACTTGAACGAAACCTCCGACGGCGCCGTCGAAATTCGCCTCCGGGAGGCGGAGGACCGCCTGAGGGAGGCCATGGAGGAGCTGCAGCGCCGCCAGCGCCGTGCGCGGCGGATCCAGCCACCGTGCGAGCATGCCGATGAGTCGTGTGTCGCTAACGCCATCGGCAACCTCTGCCAAAGCTTCCTCCTCTCCTACGGTGTTCGCGTAGGCATCGGAATTTTGCTACGCGCTTTCAAGCTCGCTCGCGGACAATCCTATTCGTCCCTTCTCGATCTCAAGGTTCGACTATATTCGAAACATCAGTTGGTCAATTTGTAATTAAAATTGAAATTTACTTGTCATTTTTGTTAGTTTTACCTGCCACTGATTTGTTTTGATTTTTATCAGGATTATATTAGTGATAATCTTAAGGCAATTTGTTTAATAGTTCCTTTTTATATTATAATTCAAATTTTGATATATGACTCCTAACATATTCAATATAGAGGCATGTAATTATATCTACTATCTATCTAGAACTCTAGGTGTTATATAAATTGTGATTATATCAAGAATTTATCATCCAATTTAATATTGGGAATCATTATGCATTGAATGAAATGAAAAATAAATCAAAAGTTACTGATTTTGCACTTAAATTTCTGGCTGAACCATAATTCAGCAGACCATATTTGTGCCAGTCCAATTAGCTTTATCTGTGCTAGTTGTGATGAACACTAGGATCCTTTTGTAACAGTAATTGTAAACTGGCTATGGCGACGTCTGAGTGTAGCAATATCTGTGCTAGTTGTGATGGTGTCGTCAATTGTTGTGTTGTGAGTTGGACTTTAATTGTTGATAGACAGTAATTGGCACCAAATGGGTGGTTATTGATCAGATGAATTGCTACGAAGAAACAGAACTTGGTATCATACTGGGGCTGACTTTCCAAACTGTTAGCGGGAATTATTTTTTAAGACCAAAGTATCACGGAGTATTCATTTATTTGGTATCCATAAGCATGTTTGATTTAATGTTATGGTACAATAAGAAATCGTCAAAGAAGATGCTGATCTTTCATTTGCATATAGGAGGGTTCTTTTCATTTGTTCCACCTTGTTGAAATGTAATATAACTATCTTGTGGAATGCAGTTAATAATGGGACCTCTCCAAATGCAACTATTTCCAGTATAAGTAAATATGTGATGATTGTTCTGGTTAATATAATCACGCATTGATCAAATTAGCGAGTAGAATATCTTTATGATTATCCAACCATGTCAAACTATATGGGTCACGATTTTCAGGACAAGGACAAACATAAGATGTTATTTTGTTTCTGATCAAGAAATAAAAACAAGCAGTGCGTGATGCTTTGAATTTGTGAATTTAATGACATTTATGGTCTGTCCCTGGGGGGTTTTAGTTTGAGGAAGGAAAATGGAGTGGGAAAACAGGTTGGATGGAGTCTCCATCATTTGGTAGGAGGGAAAAGGGAAGCGAAAGGAAGATAGGAGGGGGAAACTTCTCTTATAGACCAATCAAATTCTTACATCTAAAAGTGATTAAAAGTGAAAGGAAGAAAAAGAGGACCAAAATTTTCATGTTTTTACCCTTCAAACAACACTCCTCTTTTTATATATGGAGATAAAGTAATGATACAATATAAAATCAAGCATCATCCCTATTGCTCTTTCTATTTCCTCTATGTTGAATTAAAGATAAGGAGAAACACAACTTCTTTTCCGTAGGGTACCTTATTCTAGTCGTGACTACTGGTCAGATCAAGATTGGATTTTAATCTGATTCAAATCCGATTCTAGTGCCGAGTTAAATCCTTCAAATTATATTGGAATCCAGTTTAAGATATATAATTGAAATATCGTTAATAATATCCAATGTTGGTCCCACCAATGTGAGGTGCTGCGTGATGGACATACAGACATAAGCTTAGCATTATTTATGCAATGTGGTTGGTTTCATATTTGAAACCACTATGTCTGGCTTTGTAATCAGAGCATTTACCAATTTCACTTAGTGGTGCTTTTGTAAAAGCAACTGTCGTTAACCTATTCCCTTTGGTTCATCAGTCTTTCATTGGTTTACCATTTTATAAGAAGTAAAGCTGTTTTAATGTGATATGATCTTTCTTCTCTTTTTTTTCAAACCCCGTGGCATTAGTCATGGAGATGGAGTAGGTACAGTAGTAGACAACCGCATAAGCTGTATTTGTTAGAAGCAACCGCATAAGCTGTATTTGTTAGAAGAAAAGTAGATAGATCAACAAGTTTGTATTTAGTAAAACAAAGTAAGGATTCTTATTCTATATGCTAAGTAAGTCCTAGCATGACATGCTAGCTCAATGGGTTTTCCAGAAGTAGGCACTACACTGAAATAAGCACAAAATAGGTTTGTGGACATTTTATTGATTACGAACTTCTGTATAATTCATCCCTTACAATACATTTCCATGACCATTGTGAAGAACATGCATGCCTAAATAATACTAGTTCTCGCTAGTTATCTATGGGTTAAAAGCAAACCACTATCACAATCGGAGCTGCCTCGTCATATCCCAAGATTCCGTACCATGTCATCTATATCAGGTACCCATATTATGCCACATTTAGAGTGTGGTGTACCATGTTCCAATTATTGTTCTGCTTACCATATTAATTGGCACCCATGTAACATCGTTCCACTTAGCTTATCAACTTTGGATAAGAAGAAAGGAGCACTGACATTCGGGAATATATGCTAGATTTTGCTTATTGACTTTTTTTAAAAATAAGTATGCTTATTATCCTTTTTAAAATTGAAAGAAGTGTAAAATTTTCATTTAATGACTTTTTGGAAGCATGGATTTTGAGGATATTCTTATGCAATAATACTGAACAGTTGACTTCTATTTGCAGCAACTTGTCTCAGAGAAAGATCTGATAGTGAGAGAGGAAGCATGTCGAATTGGGTTGCTTTTTGGGGGATTTACTGGGTCGTATCATGCCCTTAGATGCTTGTTGAGGAAGTTGAGAAAAAAGGAGACGCCGATGAATGCGTAAGTTTTCTATACTGAAAAATAATTCCTGTCTAAACTTAATGTGTGTCTTTTCTTTCATTCATTCTTGGCTTTTGGTTTAGTTGTTTAAAAACTATTGATGCATGCCATATCCTATTCCATGTATATGACTTGTTAAAGGGGATGATTGAGCAGCATTTTAGCAGGTTCAGTCGCTGGTTTATCTATATTAGCTTTAGGTGATCCTAATCGGAGGCGTACATTTGCTTTATATCTTTTGGCTAGGCTTGCCCAGGTACATATCTAAACCTATATTGTTTCTTATTGCTACATAAATCAGTATTATTGTTGTTTCTTCCATGGAATTCTAATGTGATTAATCTATCAGTGTGCTTATAATTCTGCAAAGTCCAAAAACAAGTTTCACTTTTGGGGAAGCCATTGGAGACATGGAGATTCTTTACTCTTTGCTTTAGCATGTGCGCAGGTATCACTGCTCATTTACTCATTTTTCTACATAATTACTATTATGACCTCATTTGATGTCCAAGAGTGTTCAAAATGGACAATTTTATTGAACTCTTCCCCTTTATTTATCCATCTATTCTTTTACCTCATCCTGTCAAGTGATTCAGTATGGATGTGAAGGGTGGTTTAGTGTTTATGGTCGCCTTCTTCAAAATGTGGTTGAATAGGTTTCCTGTGGTCAAGTTTCAGTTCTCGTTGTTTTATTGAAACAAAAAATATATATATTTATATCAGGATTTGTCAGTTGGAATTTTTTCCCCATCAAATGTGAAATATATTGTGGACTCTTCCACAAGTGTAGCAAATTGAATTCCTGAATCTTTGGAAAGTGTTTAAAGCTAATAATATTTTTTAAAGCTAATAATATTTGTCTGTGTAATTATAATTTTTTTTTATTTTTACTTTCTTATGTTTCTAATAGTCATTTTGATCATTGGAAATTTTGTTTCAGGTTATGTACTCCTTTGTAATGCGTCCTGAGAGCTTACCGAAATCATATCAGGATTTTATTCAGAAGACTGGACCAGTTGCCCGGCCTGTATACAAAGCTGTGAGGGACTGTTGTAGGGGTTTCCCGGTAGATGTTGCCTCGTTGTCTGATTACTTATCCAACAGAAGGAACTCCCACTCTGTAAAGTTGGAAGAATTTCCTTCTATTATTCCCTGTTCCATAATTCACCCAGACACGAATTCATGTTTAGCTCACAATAGCAATGCAGCATCAGCTACTTTCAGGAAAACATTTCCACTTTACTTCTCTTTGACTTTCGTACCATTCGTTGTTCTGCACCTGCAAAAGGTACAAGTATTCCTTGTATTGTTTAATTGTATGTAGTAGTACATTTAATGTGACTTCATGATAATTCTTTAATGGTCAGTGATCAATGGCCCATTTTGTGGGTGATGGGAAAATAACCCAGTCCAAATGCAAATGTTGCAGCTTCAACCCCTTTATCCATGGCAACTTCCCTCTCAAAAAAAAAAAAAAAAAAAAAAGGCCTTATGTAAATATACCCCCTTATAAAGAGTGGATATTTTTATTTGCAGTTATTCTGACTAATTTGGGCAAGAATATTTTGTTTACTGAACTAATTATTTTATACTGTGGTTTACTTATAGTTCATGGATTCTCCTGTTCGTACTTGTTGGCTTGCTGTTAAAGGAGCTGTTCGGTCGACAACATTTTTGTCTGCTTTTGTTGGCATCTTTCAGGTTGTTGCTGTTCAATGTTGTTCTTTTCTTTCTGTGTCTTCTTTTTCATTTAATTAAATAAGTATGACTGTTGAGTAACTTTATTTTGATGTTACAAGGGAGTTATATGTTTGCATAGAAAGGTGGCTTCAAAAGACCACAAGCTTGTTTACTGGGTCGCAGGTGGAGTTTCTGCTCTTTCTGTACTGCTGGAGAAGAAAGCCAGACGAGGAGAACTCGCCTTATATGTTCTTCCACGAGCTGGAGATTCTTTGTGGTATATATTAGTGAATCGCCATCTGCTTCCAGATATAAAGAATGCTGAGGTATTTCTATTCACACCCTTATGCTTCTGCATTGTCTTGAAAAAACCCATTTTACACCCAGTTGAGCTTAGTATGGTTTCTGGAAAAAAAAAAAAAAAAAAAAGGATTCCGGACATGGTAGGAAGAAATCTAGCAAGATTCTTATGCTTTGCAGCACAAAAATATAAGTTCTCGATCAACTCTGATGTGTATCCTTCAACTATATCATAATTTATATATTTTCTTGATTTCATTTTCCTCTTAACATATGGACAGTTGCTGAAACAATTACATTATGTCATGAAAATTGTCCACAAGTGGTGCCTTATTCTCTTTTCCATTTATTTGTTATTTATCTGAATAGTAGATCAAATTCAGTGCAGGAAGCCGAATTATGGCAAAAAGTTTTGCAGAGTGAAGTTAAATGTTTTTTTTGTTATGCTCAAATCTCAATGCCCGAGTGGCTGAATCCTGGCTTCTCAACTGTGTTACAGGTGGCTCTATTCTGTGCGTGTATGGGTGGGATCATGTACTATTTGGAACACGAGCCAGATACCATGGCTCCATTCCTTAGGGGCCTGATCCGTCGCTTCCTTGCTAGCAGAATAAGCAATCCAGGCTTTCAATCGAGTCGAAGTGCTTCTTATCTACAATCTGTTGATTCCTTGAAGAAACCAAAATTGCAGGAGAACAGAGAGGCAGAAGCCTCAGCTTCTCAGAAATACAATCTGGAATCCATACCTGGACTCTGAGCACCCTTTTAAACTGCTCATACACCATGGCTATGGGTCCTCAAGCTCAAATATACAATTCGATTCTATTCATTTCTAATTTCTTGCCCGGGCAGCAGAGTTTTGCTCAATTTATTAAAACCCAACTAGTGGGGATTGTTGTTGTTTAGACCTTGAATATGATTTTTTAGTGTCAGTATGCAACTATAATCGGCCTTCATGGAACAGGATTTGAAACGAGGAACGAGGAATCAACTTCTTTTGGATTTCTAAGGGATTTCGTTATGTAAATAAATAAGAATAGCTTGTATGGTACTTTTTATAATAGCTCCGTTAAGACAAAAATGGCTATCGTTATCTTTTTCGGGTTTTAACCTCGAGTCTTTTGTTGAATCTCTATTACATATAGGTGTCACGTTTCACCATTTCCACACTAGTGATCAAGCTGCTAAAAAGCCTAAAATCGTCAAATCGTGAATTGTTTCTTGATTCTGTAATCTCGACCCCTTCTTTATGCTGACAAGTGAGAGTATAATATGGAAGTAAGGTGGCAACTCCCAGTTTCATATATCTTCCTTCTTTGTGGGGTAAGTTTTGAACTTCTGATATTGTGCGTCTAGTTATGTCTTTAGGGATCCAACGAGCTGGCGAAGTCAAGCTTAAATAATGAAACACGAGGGCTTCTCAGTTTTTCAACTGGTCTTTCTTCACTGTCTGAAGAGAGGACAGTTTTATTTCTCCAGATCTTTCTTCTACACGAATGAATAGTTGATAGTAACTAGTTTGGAAAGGAAATGTCTGAAACTTGCATTGACTCTGCAAAGAGTGCTTTTATAGCACTCATAATTCGAGCTACAAGTGAAACTAGCTTGGAATATGGCGCATCTGGTTACTCGTCTGTCTTGTAGCAAGCCGACAATAAAAGGGATAATTTGCCATTTCAACTCAGTAGACACCCAGAATGAATGCCCTGAAATGGTTTAAGACAATAATCTACCATAGAAAGTTACAGTGTAAAATATAAATGAAAGGTGATATCATAAACACAATGTGAGGATTCTCAGATGAATCCGTGAATATTGGTGGAGGTAGGAATGTTTGTATCAGTGACAGATTCTAAAATGTTGGTCAATAAAATGCCTCTTGCTCTCTGCATCCGCAGATTCTAAAATGTTGGTCAATAAAATGCCTCTTGCTCTCTGCATCTGCCTTGAGGTTCGTGTTTACTGTTTATAGCCTTGAGCCCTTCTGCGTATTACCCAGAGGTCCTTCACATGCCTGGTCCTTGCCTTGTACCAAGGCATGTGGGCAATGTAGCATAATGTGACACCTTTTTCAACCTGAGCATTAAATGCATTCGACTCTATGAAAACGATAATAGCTGGGGCTTTATTGACTCCGTCCGAACATTAATGGTGATGTTAAAGTCCTCTGTCACAATACATATCCACCATCTCATTCGTTAGACCCGTCGCTCGTGATGGGTTTCTGAGTTGTTATCCTTCACCACCAATCCAAGATCTTTCAAAGTGTCCCAATGGTCAATTGTAAATGTGCAAGAAGGCTCTACCCATATATGGCTTTTTGTTTGACAACTTGGGTTCAAGGTCTCGGCGAGCTCGAGATTTGGCAATTAGGTGTGATGCCGAAATTACACTAATGACTTGAGGGTTGCCCTTTCAAGATTTGATGACTTGGTGAGATGTTAAAGTTTCGCTGCTTGTGGTTCAAGGGTTGCCTCTTGAGATTTGATGACCTGGTGAGATGTTAAGAGTTTGGTTTGTGACTCAAGGGTTGCCTACTCAAGATCTGATGACCTTGTGAAATGCTAGAGTTTCACTAGTGGTTTGAAGTTTGCCGTCTCGAGATTTGATGACCCGATGAGATGCCACGGGTTTTGTTTGAGACTCGAGGGTTGCCCTCTGGAGGTTTGATGACCGGGTGAAATGCCAGGGTTTTGCTTGTGTTCAGTCAACGAGTGTTTGACTCTTCAGTGAGCCATGGGCGTGCAATAGTCCATGTATGTTGGACTTTTCAACTGGCCATGTAGGTGCAGCGGTCCAAGTCTGATAGACTTTTCAACGGGCCATGTGAGCACAACAGTCCAAATGCGATTGACTTTTCAATGAGCCACGTGGGCACAACAGTCTTTGACTTTTCAAAGAGCCAGGTGCAGCAGGCAGATTAATATGACACCTACAAAGTATGATTTCGAAAGTTTTGGTACACTACAAATTTATGCAGTTTCAACATTGAGACAAAAATACAAAGTGAAATTAGACATCAGTATGCAATCAACACTGTTTTCACATCGCACTCTTATATTTGTTTGACTGAGTAAAGATCCATCATTATGCACTTCACTACATTCCATCAATCATAGGGGTCCATCAGGTAACAAGAAATTCACAGCAAGGTTTAGACCCAAAAAAAGAAATACAATATCTGAAAGATTAGGTTTCAGATTTCTTCTTGAAGTTTACATATTTTATAAGTTTTATGGCCTATCTTACACTCAATGCCACTGAATTTGCTGGTAAATATACGTTTCGGCCGCAATCCCCCAGCAATAGCACATCTATTCCTTTCTTCTTCAACCACACTCTTCAGTAAGCTACTAATGTCACCCAGTGCCCAAGCTACAGATATATGGGGGCGTGGATCCTATAATTAACATAGAATACAGAACATAATATTTATCAGCAATAAAATAAGAGATATTCACCTGTGACTTCAAATATTTGATAGTTATCAAATGAACGGAGAAAAACCACAGTAAGCCCAACCTTATAAAATTCGGGAAGATTGTGAAGCTTATAAACCTCATTAACAGCTTGAATCTGCTTTGTTATCTGAAATCAATTGAGTACAAATAAATCTCAGTTTTGACAGCACAACAGTGGGATTTGAAGGTAATATATATATATATATATATAGGGGCTGAAGTTATGTAATATGTAAAAGAATCACACTTGAAAGAACAATATTATTGTTCTAAGATAAAACTGAATGAAAGGAGACACTTCGAAGCTTCTATGAAAGTTATGAACAGCAATAAAAATTATGAAACCATAAGTTTAACAGTCTGCAGCTATGTTTTAAGTTTTTTACCGCTACCTTCCTCAAATTGGCACCCCAAAAATCCAAAAGAGAAAGATATATATAATTTAATGCTAAAGTTTGATCAATGTGGATGTCGCTATGGTGAACTGATTTACTCATTATCAATTTTACATAAATCATAATTGCTCATTCAATGTTTATGGAGACAAATGCTCGATAAAGAAATATGCTTCTCTTAAAATTGATTTTTTTCATCTAAGTAGTGGTTTTTATATGTTTCGTTTCATTTACCCTACTTTTAAACTTCAATAATTTTTATATAACCATTGCTATCAACATTTATAAATTATTACTATCATATGAATAAAGGCACGTCTTGCATTACCAAATTACATTTGTAATAAATTATTACTATCATATTAATAAAGGCATGTCTTGCATTACCAAATTACATTTTTGCCATTGATACTAGGAAAAAAAATGTTCTCTCTTAATTTCCATTACCTTGTGAAAAATAAATAAATAAATAAAACGGTAAGCATTTTCACAAATAATACGTGGTATTAGCAAATATCACTATTATTTAAACAAATTGCTTTGTTTATTCAAGAGCTTATGCACATTCCCAACATTTTCTCAACATCTGTCACAAAGTAATCCTAGAATAACTAGTGATTACATGTCAATGCCAATAGATTAAACCATGCCAACAATTTGTAGATAAAGTTGACATAAGATGGCAGTTATTCATCTACCTGCTCCTTAAAAGGTTGCATAAAGACTAAAATAGAAAACTGTGATACCAATGACAAGGAAAGTGTTCTACCGTTAGGCATTTAGGTGAGAAAACTGATCAATAGATGAACAAGCTGGTGCAGGAAGAATGTTATCAAACATACCTCGGGTAAGCCTCCAGTTAAAACTTCTATTGATAGAAAGGAACGTGTGTGATCATCATTGACAAAAACCTCCCATTTACTAAAATCAATCCAATACCTGTTTTGCACCAAAAGATTCAAAACAGTGGGTGAATTTATATCAATGCTCAACAATTGACTATAAAGTATACTTTAGAAATTGTAATCAGACCGTTTCTGAAACTGAAGTCTCTGGCGAAGCATTGCCACGACTGAGTCGATCTGGTGCACTCGGATAGGAACAGTCCTCCCCAAACTTATGTGGAATTCCCTTCCCAAGGCAACTTGTTCAAGATTGTAATCATCTTGGCAAATAACGTTCAGAGGGACATCAACATCAACAACATGAAGAGTGGGTACAAGAGATGTGACCTTCTTCAGAAACTGGGTCATTTCCTTTTTGGGGGCAGATGGTATGTAAACTATAAGCAAGTACAAAAATTACTGCATTTTTCTAACTCCAAAAACTCATGCTCCATTTGGATAATTTAAAATGAATAGATTTGGTTTTAGTGATTGGAGAGTGCAGTTAAACTTAGATATGATAGCTTAAACTTATATTTCGATAAAATGTAGAATAAATTTGAGAAACCTATATGTGTGGATTTGAAGTAACAAGGTTGAGGGAGTTATTTGAAATCCATACCACGAGGAGTTTTCCTCTGCTAATTCTCTTCCTTGGGTCTCTCAATACAACACTAATAGCTACCCCCTAGATATTTGTGATCTCAACCCCAAATTCTTTCATTCCAATCCCATATCCAAGCAGAATATTAATGCAATTGGAAATTTTGTAACTTGAAATTAGTCGAACACATTGATGTTAAGTTAGTTATTGTGCATGACTATAAGCCATAGCTGCAAAATTTAGCAAAAATAACACATCAATGGATTGCGTTGGAAGACAAACTGACAGGTCAACCATATTTTAAATGACTAGGGCACAAGTCTCGTCTCTCTTAATTGAAATTCTTTCTCAGTAATACAACCCTGTCAATATATAGTGGTCGGCAAAACACACCACAAAAGGTATCACGTCCACCTACCATGCACCCATAATTGTGCTATCATCATATTAGGTCATTGTCATCACCTTAGTATAACATAAGAACAAAAGTATAACAAGCGCACTGAATTAATGTTTGGGTTAAAGACTTCTTTACCCAAAAAAAAAAGTATTGTTTAGAAAGCCTCTTTGAATTCTAGTGTAAAAACCAACAAAACTATCAAGTGCCTGCATTTGACAAATTACAATTGAGTAATTTTCCCAAACGTTATGAAAAACAGGAATTTCATAAATTACTACAATACATGAAACAAAGAACTCCCGAGTTTGAACCCGTGCCATTTACCACCCAAAAAATAATACTAAACCCAAAATGCTGTTCAAGTCGAACAATTAATACCAAAAATGGGTCAGAATTTTCGATTTGTACCTCTTATAAAATAAAAATACAAATAGAAAAATGAAAAAGAAAAAAGTATTCATTTTGTAGCACAATTTTGAACCCTCACACCATTTACCGCTGTTCAAGTCAACCAATTAATTCCAAATTGGGCTCAAATTTTTCATTTTGAGCACAAATTCACAGAAACATCCAAACACCTTGTACATGTCTTTTTGGAAACAAGTTTGAACCCTCACACCATTTACCGCTGTTCAAGTCAACCAATTAATTCCAAATTGGGCTCAAATTTTTCATTTTGAGCATAAATTCACAGAAACATCCAAACACTTCGTACAAGTACTGACTATTAAAGCTAACACCCATACACAAAATCAATATACCAACAAAAACCATCAAGAAGAAAGTTCAAAATCGGAAATTGAAAAGAAAAAACCTGGGATGTATACATGTAGTGCATAGTTTCCTTCAACGTGAGGGAAACTCCGAACTCTACTAGCCTCGCCGCTTTGAAAGCAACCCAATGTCCCTACGTAGACAAAAGATCAAACAATTAGTGGGGATTAAATCTATATGTGTTTGTGAGTACCGTACATGGGAAGTGAAGATTTGTCACCTAGAGACTTGGGAGGGGTGAGAAGGGCGATAGGAGGTGGTGGCAGAGACCCCGAGGCTTGCGTTTTCGAATTGGTGGTTGGTGGAGGAGAGAGATCGCAGTCTGAGTCCGAATCCGATGGACCCACTCCGTAAGAGGCTCTCAGAGCATCCATATGCTCTCTCTCCTGCTCTCCCTCTAAATCGTCACCTCCTCGTTATTGTGTTGTCAGGCGTACAATGAACGCCACTCTTTGCTTTAACTACCGAGCTTCGATTGTCCGATCGTTTTTCTGTAACGAGCACTCTCCATCCTCTATATAGGACACATTTTCCTGAGAGTGGGCCCCTATGATGCTTAATTTATATATATATATATATATTGTCTTTTTGAAATGTTTATATAAACCAATTATTTTTTATATTCATGAAACATTTATGATCAAATGATGATGTTTAAAGTTAATATCTATATATTTTGCCTTTACCCAATTCCAACCGAGGTGGATTCAGGAATTGTAAATGAGTGGGCAAATATTAAACATAAATTTAAATGACTTAGGTTAATACTAGGAATAACATTTTTTTTTTTTTTTTTTTTTTTTTTTGGGTACTGAGCTAAAATTGCCTATTTTAATAAATAAATAAATAAAATAGAGTAAACTCAAGTCCACGAGAAAGGATAATCATAAATGTAATATCTCAATATTTTAAAGAATTTATTTATTTAAATTAATTAATTTTATTTTAGTTTAGTTGATTTTAATTGGGTGTTGAATGATTGTTGGACTATTATGTTTGTTTCTATTTAAATTGTATTTCATGATTATTGATTGACTTGGTGTGTTATGTTAAATCAATTGCATGCTAATTATTTGTTTGTTTGTATGACAATGTTTATTTGTGAATTTTGTGCATTTATTATTTTGTTTAATTGTTTTATTTATTAAATATTCAATGGATTGGGTTAAAGGAATTGGACCAAAGGATGAGATATTGGACTTAGATGAAGCCTTTAAAGGTTAAGTGATTAGGGCACAAAGTTATGAAGATATATATGATTATCTTTGCATAATTATATATACATATTTATATATATAATTAATTATTATTATGGAAGGAAATATATATATTATTAACTAATCAACTATGGTTAGGATTAGGATATAGGACAATACTTGTCTACTCACTGGTGAGTTGGGAGTCTCTTCTGACTCAATAGTGGCATAATGAAATTATAACGAGTCTTTCAAATTTTAAAAAATATAATAAAAATAGTACTAGAGCGTATTTGATCAATTTTAATCTGATTAACTGTATCTTTCTCTCCGCATATGTACAAAATTAGCTTTTAAAGTAGAGAGAAATTAAGATTCAAGCTTCCTAAAAAGATTTTTCAAGTTAGAAAAGAAAAGAGAGGAAGCTAAAGAAAGAAGAGAGAACCGAAAGGAAGAAAGAGGGAAGGAGAGGCCAAGCAAGCGGGACATCTTGGTTATCAAGATCTTAGACTAAACTGCATGCTAAATCACCTAGACATAAGATTAAAAGTATGGATTAAACTGATGTGTATTGATGTGTATATATTAATATAAGTGTTTGTGTGTGTGTGTGTGGTGGATGAAGGGCATGATTTATTTAAATCCGTTTATGGTGGTTCTACTTATTGATTTTGATATATATGAATGTATATTTATGTAAGAAACATTTTAGAATTTATTCGGGATTGTTAATACATGATTTGGAGTCAAGACGATGAATTTACAAATTTGGAACAGTGGTGCGGAACCTTTTGTCGCAAACCAGTGCTAGAGTATTGGATTTGTGGTCGAGCACTGGGCTGTTTCGTGAACCAATGGTCGAACACTGAGCTGTTTGTGCTCGAGCTCTGGGACCCGAAATTTGCCAAAACGATTTCGAGTGACGCGGAATTATTAGAAATACAATGATGAATATGCTGAAAAGCTCTGTGACCCAAACTTTGCTGAAATGATTTCGAGTGAGCGGATTTGATTCTAGAAGGTCCCAAATATGTCATGTGTGTTTACAGTATTGGAAATACAACGATGAATTTGCTGAAAAATGATGTTGGTTTTGTAAGCATGAAAGTTGCATTCTGTACCTGCAGAACTTATTGATGCAAATACATTTCACTTAACAAAAGTAAAAAATACGGAGTAAATAAAGTACCAAAAATGCTCAAGTGCAAATACTAGTATCACATTTCTTGTTGAAGGTTAAAACAGTATACGTGACTCATGCTTGGAATGAAGAGAAGGTAAAAGAGATTCGTCAAAAATATGGTGAAATTGTGAAAGTTAAGCTATCTGGGAGCCTAAGCACTAAAGCACTAAGCACAAAGATTTTGGATTTATTGCTTTCACTTCTCAAGAAAGTGCTCTGGCTTGCGTGGAGGGGATCAATAATGATTGATTGTATTGGATTTTTTGTCTCCGTTAAAGCCAGCATTGCAAAGCCTCGATTTAATGGTCGGCTTCAAAAGCAGGGTTTTCGTGGGGATTCAAGGATGAGAAAATGAGTGAAGTGGGCCCATCAAAAGAAGAGAGTGAAAACGCAAAAGAAGCTGGATCATCATGAGCCTGTTGTTGCAAAGCAAAGCCCACCTTTTTATTCAGGATATCTTGAACCTGCTATTGGATCACAGGCCGATACAACTTCATTCGGAATACCTTCAACCTGTTTTTGAAAATTGACTTAGAAAAAGGCCCGAGTTCAGAGAATTGTTTGTCTGAAAACTATTTTATGTTTTTAAAGTCGTAGAAAGATTTTTTTTACAGTCCCAAACGCTTTACCTCGTAGTTATGCCCTTTCTAGTCATCTTTTTTACCTATACGGAAAAATGGCTGTAACTGCTGCATTTATATATTAACACGAAACTAGATGTCACAAACATCAGAGATTCAAAATGCTAAATTGAAGTTTAAACCACGTTTTCCTTCCATCCACCGTCTGTAACAAAAACCTAAAACAATAGCGTAACACATATGACACATAGAAATACAAAATATATGTCTATATATTTGCAGTGATAAATATCTAAATATCGGCAGCTGCAAAGCATTCCACAATTCAAGATTTATTTTTCAAACTCAAATTCTTCACTGCAAGTAAAAACCTATTTACATCTCAAACCCACTGTACCTGTAAATCTCACCGACAACATATCACAAATGTATCTCCTATATATAATACCAAATCCGTTTAATTATTTAGATTTTCTATTTGCAACTCAAACAAAAACAAACTCGTTCAGAGATCTGTCAAGAGGGAGAGACCTTTTGAGAAGTTAATCGACCTTGGCACTGGTTGCTTCCATCAGCCCATTGCGAATCTGATCACCAATGTCCCTGACATGACCAGGACCATGGGGTAGGAAAACTGTAGTATTCTTTGATGAGTTCCCGAGATCTTTGATGGTGTCAAAGTACTGGGTGATCAAGATGAGATCCATCACCTCCTTGGCTGAGGTGCCTTCCACCTTGTCAGAGAAGTTCAAGATGTTCTCTCTCAGTCCATCTGTTATTGCCTGCCTCTGCCTGGCCACACCAACCCCGCCTAGGTACTTGGCTTCAGCTTCAGCTTCTGCCTTTTTCACTTGGAGTATCTTGTCTGCCTCCCCTTTGTATACACTAGCAAGCTGGAGCCTTTGAGCTGTAAACAAAATCAACACTGCATTGTTCAGTTGCAGATAAGCTAAAGGAACGGTCAAAGCCTTTAACAGAGTAATAAAAAATGTCAATAACATGAGAATATCACGATATTTAGAAAAACTATGCATGACTCGAAAAACTGGTTTTACAGCTTAATGGAAAAGGAATTTTTCGATTCAGTTTTAATTTTTTTCCTACTGGGAAAATCTTGTCAGTTAATGCAGGAGCAAAAGGGCTCCTATCATGGACCTGGAAAATCCACAATACCATTTCAGATCATAATTAAAAGGAGGAGGAGCAGGGGAGTGGGTGAATAATAGTGGATTGAGCAACCAACTGAAAACTGATGAAAAGATTGGACACGACACTTCAAAATCCCTCACCTACATTCCTTAAATAACCTTTCTAATATAAAAACAAAAAGACAAGAATGGCAAAATAATGCTACCGACAGATGGTTTTCTTTTTCATGTCTCATACAGTAATTCCAACGGTCTACAATTACATAGACTCAGATTGCAGCAAAAGAACTGAAAAAGAAAAGAAAAAAAATATGACTTTTTTCCCTTAGGTACACAAGGTAATCAAGAGATTCCTTGTTGACAATTCAGATCTCCCCTATATCCTCATTTCACTGAGATATGAAGTCTCCCCAAAAGTATCTCACCTCAAGTATCGTAAATTCCACAATGAGGGTAAAACATCTAAAATGGATGTTATGAACTTAACAGATTTATTAAAATAATTGCTCCATGCATACTATGTAAGAACAATAATGAGTAGTTACGAGGGTTATAAATATCCTAACTTCGCCTACAGAAAATGGTCACTAAATTGTCAGTCCATCTCCAACCTATTATATTCCATCATAAAATGCATGTCTTATGCTTTACTGGAATGCAGAAGAAACTGAAAGTTTGTACCTGAATCTTAAAACATATAACTCGGTTTTAAAACAACAAAAATCAGAAAGTTCAAAATGTTAAAGGTCAAAACCTGCATTTATCTCATTCATCGCTTTACGCACAGCAGTATCAGGAATTATGTCAACCATCAATATGTGCTCAATGTTGTATCCATACGCTCCCATCACCTAATAAAAGAAAGCAACTCACATAAGACATTTTCGACAAGATACATTGAGTGCAAAAAATACCAAGTTCAGCCATATAAAGACAACATAGAGAAATGTTTTAGCAAGAAGTAGCACATAACTGACCGGGAAAAGAACGTAGTGGTACTAACAAAATAACAGCTTAATATCAATACAACTTCATCAAGCACAACTATCTCAAGCAATTCAAAGGAGTATGGATAGACCTAACAAAGAAAATAGAAAAGCAAAAAGTGTGAATAATTTTGTTTTTAATTTTCAGGAGCACAACTCCCTTCCTCAAATAGTACCAAGATGCATGTTTTGATCTCATAACCTCATAAACCAATTTTTCTTTTTTTTAACAATTTTAATGAACTTTATTCAACCTAAAAGATAATATTAGTATAACAAACAAATTTTCAAATCATTTTTTCAGTTACCATAAGTGGAAATTATGATATTCTTTATCAAGAGTTTCAGTTCTCGTAGAACCGTAAATCAATAGAAATAGTAAATGAACTTGCACTTGATGAGAAAATTTGACTAATACCAGTACCACAAAATTTCCAACCTTCAGCTAAGTAGAGTTAAGTTTGTCCAGAAATGAAACCATTCAATTATTAGACCTTTCAAGGAATATTCATTAAGCAAAGTCAGAAACGCACTCAAGGAGTCAAAATCATTATATTGTCCCTATACAAAATGAAGTACATAACTAATAATTAAGTGCAACCCAGATTGAGAATCAGAATTAGATTAAAAGATATCATATAATAAATAAGCTCTGGAGTAAGTAAAAAACTAAATCGGCTTTTAGAATAGGAAGAAAAATCAACATCCTCCAAATAAGTCTGGTAAAATAAATTATGACTAATGACAAACAAGAAAAGCATAATTAATTTAAGATACATTTGAAAAACACACTGCTCCTACCAAAGGAACAGGTTTGGGCTAATCTATAACATCACCTCAGTCCTGAATAAAGAACCTTTACAGGAAGGCTGCAGTACTGAGTCCCTTTATGTGCCTATTCCTTTGTATGTACACCTTTTACAAGGTTTCAATCATAATCTGTATAATCTTTTTTTTTTTTCTAATCACACAAAATATTCAACGGAATTCTAGAATACCAAGTACAGAAATACGCCCTAAGCTTCAGCTTTGAGATTAACTTTGCCAACTTGTAAGTGATTAGTGATTTTTAAAAGCTAAAGTATCATATAAAAAAGAAAAGTATGCAGCTATCCATATAGTTTTTTCATTGACAAGAAGAGAAAATTAATGAAGATATCTATCCATATAGTTTTGCCATTGACAAGAAGATAAAATCAATGAAAATATCCCTCTAGAAATGAAAGCATTCATCAAACAGATAAAGTTACCTTCTCAAGTTCCTCCAAGACAGTTTTGGCAACATCACCCTTTTGCTCAAAGAGCTCGTCCAAAGAAATTCTTGGAACATGGGCTCGAACCACTAAGAAAACAATTTAGACAGCGTTAGGACATGGAAAAAATTAAGGAAAAGGAAAATATGTATATAAATATATACACTGTCTAAAAAGGCAGAAGGATTTCGAATCATGAAACCTACCGTCAAAAACGTAAGCCTGAATCTGCTCTTTCGGGTTTTGCAACTCATAAAATGCATCATCAGCATTTTCTTTGATTACTCGGTATTGAATTGAGCAAAGCATTTGCACAAAGACATTGTCCTGCAGAATGGAGGATTATTTATAGTCGTTCTTTAGGCAGAAAGAAAACGCTGCACATCTAAATTAATGCTTGGAACTAAAAATGCCGAATCATCAATTAATACACGCAGCATCACAACTCCAGGTCCAGGTCACAATCACTTAGGTAAGGGCACCACAATATTCCCTACTTACAAATGAACACACATGTATTAATTCTTAAATTTAAAAGTTGATGCAAAAAACTAAAATAAAAAAAATAAAAATTGAAATTTTATTGATTAAAAGAATGGGTACAAAACTATGTGTTTTGTATTGGATCAAACAAAGCAGTAGAAAAAATCCCCGTATGCCTGATGAGAAGTTGTAGACACAAACTTTAGGCCATAGCCGTAGAGTAGATGCTTGAAACCTGAAAAAATTGCAAAGAAACAGCCGTTTGTCGAAGCACATCTTTTCTATCCAGTAGGATGCCTTAAAGGGTATAGATTTTATAGACGTGTATCTGATCTTTACGGAGGCAGATCAGAATATCAGATATATTAGGGTTTCTTTGATAAACATCAGTGTATCTATATATATACTCCTAGATACAACTTCGCTTTTCTTGTGAACGAAATGCTCCTTATACGGACACAAGCTAGAGCAGTCTTGTTCTGAAACTCCATAACATTTCCAAATATAGCAGAACTGCATCATTTTAAATAATCCAACTAACATTAACACGTTTTCCATGTGGTAAGACTCTTATCGCTTAAGTGAATCCGTTCGTTTAAACCCACTTTACAATTTTTAATAGATTACCAAAGATAAAAGTTTAACTCTGACTAGATCATCAATGACTAAGGCACTAGTTATCATAAAAATGCCTACAAGATAGCTTTGAATATACCAGAAGATCGAGAGCTTTTTCTCTCTTAGAAAATCATAATAATTAACACTGGCAAATGGTAAAATGAAATCACACCCCAACTGTTTCTCGACTGGTCTATCATGTTCATAAGCACTCAACCATATGAACACGAGCATTTGACTTAAGTATCTAGCAGGCTGTAAGCCTTATACAACTGATCTTGGAAGAACCAACAGTGTCAAATACATAGCACTAAGAGTTAAATAATTCAACAACTTTTTTAATTTCAAGGCACTACAAAGACCATGGCAAGGCCATAAACAACATGAGTCGAAGCTGAGGATTAAGATACCATATGACTAAAAGAAGTACACAAAACCAATGGGCCAATGGCCTAGCGGTATCAGGCTCTTACTTTCCAAAGGAAGATCAAAGGTTCAAGCCTCAGTGGATGTATGTGTGTGAGTACCAACTAAGAAAGAAAAAAAAAAAAGCGTATAGCTCTTGATAGAGAGGATGGTGAGCAGCACTAAATAGTCTGTTCTTCGAATAAGAATATGTTGAATTGGGTTGGTTTGTGATTTTCCAGATGGTAGGTAAAATCTAACGGTGTCAGGTAACTTATCACATTGTCACTGTTTTTTTGCGACTTATTTGTTGTACTGCAAGAAAATATTGCTTGTGAAGTACCAGTTTATCTACATAATTTAATATATGAGGATGAGGTCCATGCGGACAGAGAAGACAGAGCTAAACTACAGACAATGAAGAAAGCCAGAGCAGATTTGTAAAAAATAGGGCGTGAGGATCGTTGGGAATGTTGTGGCCATAAATAACCAATCCTGTGCAAGAAATCCTATCATCAACCCACAAACTCTACCTCCTTGAAAGTCAATATGATGATTTTGGCTTCAGCAACAAGATCTTTAAATACATTTGACATTTTGACCATAACTAAGGAAGGTCAATATGATGATTTCAGCTTCAGACTAGATTAGTACCACTTCATCTTAACTAAGATGCGAACATTCAGAAGATACATACACATATATTGCCAATGCTTCAAGTGTATGTTCAGCCCTGGCATGAATTTGATTGATTTATTACATATTAATCACATGGCTCAAATCCCACTTCCTAAGCATGCAATCATATATGGATAAACAAGAAGGTAATAATGAGCAATTTTAATAAAAATAGGATAATTTTAGTGCGACAATAATTCAATATTAATTTCATGCAGAATGGAGAATCTTTTTATCAATTGATTCAAACATTCCATTCAATTGACAATGGTTGTAAACACATATAACACCAAATTCCCATGATAAATTCAAGAAGTTGGTAGTCGATTAGAAGAAGTCTAGAACACAACAATCAAAACTTCCTCTACAGCTGTACTATGTTCCGGCGAATGAGTCAAGTATCTGTTGCCAAACCAACCTTCTGGTATTTTCAGTCTATCCATAAATGATGAATCTGAGGAAGTCAATGTGACAAATCAAACATCTGATTCACACCACCTAAGGCACATTCTAGCCCTATCAGATTCCCTATCTTTGCGTGCCTCAGATGTTTTTCAGCCTTTTTCTCTAGGGTACATACTCGCAAATCCAAATATGGAATTGGGGTTCTTCCTTGATGCTTTTGCCTCCTTGCTTGCTAGAGTGGCGTGAGTTCCTCCTTGAGCTTGAGAACTTTCTCATATGATCTCTGTGTCGTTTCCTCTCCTCGCTTTGAGCTGGTAATCGTCAGGTTGAGATCCTTTATGGCTGAGGAAGAACGGCACAACTCCGTTCACTAGCAGGGAGGGAATGTTTCTGTTTTAGTAATTTTGATTCATAAATGGATGATTCAAAAGCAAGGTTCACGGGTCTTTTTCTCTCGGCGCTTTTCATAGCCTGGGCATCAAATCAAGATTCAAGACCATTTGATATTTCCTAATTACAACCATTATTCTATGAGACTACAGTACAATTTCCAATTTAAAAAACTTCAAAAATGATCTTAAAGAGGGCTATGCAGAAGATGGCTCAACAAAAATAACCCTAAAGAAAGGACCAAAGTTTATCCATACCCAGTTGGAGTTAAATTCCTGTGAATTTAAAATTTTGAGCCCTAATTCTTTTCCTTCCCTATCAACTTTACCATCCCAAGTAGTGTCACTCATCCACCAAAACATTAAAAAAAATCTTAATCAACCAACAATCATCCAGGGACACATCCATACTTCGACCGTTTCCATGACATCCCAATGAAATTGAATATGCTCACAGGAAGTGGCAAGCTTTCTGGTACTACTCAATTACTCAAATTATTAGTTGGGTTTTACTCAAAACATAGTAAAACCTAGTTTGTTTATTAATTCAATTATACAAATTCTTCTACGCTTCAAAATTAACCGCCAAATACCCACAAAAAAGGGGAAAAAAAAAAAATGTTATAAAAGTAACACTACAATGATAATTGATAAGATCGAAAACAATATACTAGTATGCAATTCAAGTAATTCAATTTTGAATGAAAACACTATACTAGTATGCAATTCTAGAGAGATAACCTTGGTTTTGGTCTCGATGCGGACGTCGAGGGAGTTGATCCTAGTAGAGAGAATGCCGGAGAGGCATTCGCCGGCGAAAGGGTTGAAGTAATGGAAGCCAGGCTGAGCCAGTTTCTCGAAGCGACCCCACCGCTCTATCACACCTATGCTGGCTTGATCGACGCACCCACAGAAGAGACAGTACGCATTCCCCATGTTTTCTCTCTCTAAAATCTCTTCGTTTTCTCTCTCTAGGTATTTGAAGAAGACGTGGAGCGGACGGTTGTCTATATACTATCATTTACCCCACAGGACCTTCGCGGCATCTTAGAGGAGGATGCAGTATTTTACGTGGACTTGGTTTTGTTTGTTTTATGCCACCTCAGCGCGTTAGATATGGTACGTAGTTGTGCATTAAAAATTACGTACTCGTTATACAAATGGACTATTTTTTATCTTAAAAAATTATGTATAAGCTTTCTTATCTCTAAAATTATATCTTAACTGTGATAGATATTGACTTAAATTATTGACTATTCCTTTGAATATAACGTGATTGAAAATGAGTGGAAGAGAAAGAGATGTTTACGGAAATTTTTTTAAGAGTTCTAATAGAATCCAACCACGTTATATTCGTAAGAAGAGTCGACAATTAACCGAAAGACCTATCATTTTTCTTTTAGAAAGAGAAGTAATAAATCTTCCGACTTGAATTGCCGACTACTCCTCCAAATATAAAGTGGTTGGGATCTTTCGACTATCTTTTATTTTTTTTTACTTTTAAATTTCTAAAATTATATCTTAATTTTTCTTTATTTTCTCTTATACTCTTTATGTTTCTTTAATTTCCTTTAAAAATATATATATAAAACGCAATTAAAAAAATTAAATAAAGTTAATATATTTTATTTTGTTCTTGTGAATCCCACTATATTTTAGGTATTTATTATTATTATTATTATATTTTTGGTAGATAGAGCATCCTGTGTTAAAAAAACAAAAAAGCATTGTTGTGATTAAATCGTCTCTAATAACTAATGATGGCAATCACGTGATCCAACTATCACCAACTTAGTGATGTCAACTTATCACAAAATTTTTCTTTGTTTGTTTTGATATAAAATATATATTTTTATTTTATTTTTTAATATTTAGCAAAGGTCCTAAAAAAAAAAAAAAAAAAGATCACAACAAAAACACAAAATATTTTTACTACGCTTTGATAAAATATTTTACTCAGTAAATATTTTAACATGTAACACTAAAAAATTAAAAAATTATTTTCTAAAATTATTTTACATAATAAAATTGATATTACAAATCCACTCTTTGGGCTATCAATGCTCGGAAAACTTGGTCAGCCCAAAACATTGGGCGAACTTTTGAACATGGGATTGGAGTGGACCCTTATTCCCTGAGTGGTCTCGTTCACAGGCTTACTTCCTGGAATTATTATATGTTTGCTTATTTTTTACCTTATCTGTATATTCAGAAATCAGAATCAGAAATTACCTCCAAATGGGCCTCTTAATTTGAGAGAATTTGGACCCAAACAAGTACTAGAAATATCGCTCTATTTGATTCCAAGTAGTATCAATCTTATACATTCTTGAGTTCTCGTAGTATCTATTTTAAGATAATACTTTATTTAGTTTGTAATTTTGAAAACAGTTCTTAATAACTCAAAAAATAAATATGAAAACAAGTATAGTTCTCTAAAAACAGACTTTTTTATGATTGAATTTTTAAGAAATAGTTTTAGAAAACAAAACAAAACAGAGTTTTTGTATAGTTTTATATTTTCTGTTAGAGCATCTCTAGCAGTCTGTTAAAACATTATTTTTTGTAAAATATACACGTATGATATGTAAATTTTTCTTATCTCTAGCAGTCTGTTAAGATAAACTATCACATCACCAATGTGTAAAATTGTTGTGTTTATTACACAACCTACCGCCACATCAGCATATTTCATTTTTCCTCCCTCTTTCTCATTCCACTAAGGAATCAACCCTATATAAAGTAGGTTCATAAAAATTATGTGGGGTCCAAGCATGACACTGGTTGGTTATTATTAGGGAATATATTTTTACAAAAAATGTATAAATCTATTATGACACATCAGATTTACATAAATATATATATATATATACACAACAGTTGAAGATGCTCTTAGAATTCTTAAAAAATCACTAAACGTCATTAAAAATCCATTTGTATTTAACTATGTTTTGCATTTTGAGACCTAAATGTGAGATTGAAAAAAAAATTACAACTGTAATAACTGGTTTTTTATTTATTTATATTACGTCAATATGGGTCAATTCCACAACCTCATTGCCAAATGTGACTACGAACTTAGATTGCTTTTGTTAATAAGAGGTGTAAGTGATAGACCCTATACATGCACTCTCTTTAGGATTCCAAGCTGAAGTTAGCTTGAAAAGCAAGACTCTTAGCTTCATTTGGATTGATAGAATTGGAAGGAAAAGAAAAGTAAAGTGAAAAAAAGAAAAGTAAAAAAAATAGTTATTTTCAAGTTTAGTTTACAAGGAAAAAAAGAAATAATAATTTTTTTTTTTCCCCCGACAAGAAAGGTAAATAAAATTAACAAGAGTTACGATCAAGTTCCACAGCACTCATAAGGTCGAGAGGAAAATGGTCCAAGAAACATTCATTAGTTTTTATCTGCAAAGTATACTTAACTAAAGTATGAGCTGGGACATTTCCTTCCCGATTGACAAAGTACACTGTGAAAGAAGGAGAAGACTTCAAATAAAAAATAATGTCCTTTATATACACCTGCAAGTGTAAAGGACGAGAAAGCTTTCCATTCACCATCCGAACAATAACCTGAACATCCATTTCAAATTGAACTTTTGCACAATTCCATCCAACGACCCTTAATAGAGTTTGTCTCAACACACATGCTTCAACCACAGATAGATCAGAAATATGAGAGAAAAAGAAGGTTGTTGCTTATAATATTACTCCCTGATGATCTCTCATGACCATCCCACCACCAATTTCAGTTTTTTTTTTTGTTGACGGTCGCATCAATATTAGCCTCAAGAACACCAATAAGACTATAGGTGGTCTAACCCATCCCCGAGATTGATCAATAGGCACGATCAGGGAAGGAATAGTCAACATCAAATCCAAAGGCTCCTGAACAAATTGATATTCAATAAAACTATTGATAGCCAAACAAACAATTTTTTCAACAGACTACCTCTCTGACTTAAAAACAAAAGCATTTATCGCTTTTCGTATGAACCAACACATAGTAGCAGCTAACCTTTGCAAAGACAATCCATTTGAGACTTCATTCCATTTGATAGAGAAAAATATAAACCTACCCTGCCCTCGATAAGATTGATTAGATTTCATTATCAAGGATAATGAAATATGACGTGGTTCAACAGGTAAGAATAATCCTATTATAACTGGAGGAGGTCAAAAGGATTAAATCATATCCCCAACAAATCTGACAACAAATCTCCTATGATTTCGCACAAGCGGAAAATAAGATCAACCATCGACATCGGCGGAACGATTTTGATTCCAATCGACATCCATAAATAGGGCACTAAGTTATTAAAGAAGGTACGACGTAAAAACTATTATTAATCCCTGCCTTCTTTTTAGACCTCCGTGACTAATTTGATCGTCAGAGAACTCTTGGCAGGCACCACACCGGTGCTGTCAAGGTTCGTCGATCTTCTCCTCTCTTCCTTGCAGGAAAACGGTATCGTATCGGACTGCGCGAATTTCAACCGCAACAGTTGGCGCCGTCTGTGGGAATGACGATTCCCTTGAATCAATTAATTATTCGTTAGGTATATACGTTTGCAGTCCGGTATGGTTACTGAATGAACACCGTCGCAGGGATCTGGTCAAAGGGTAGAGTCGGGTGAAAACCTGGACGTCTCAAACGACCAGGCACGGCTTGCAGTGTTGGAACTGCAGGTTCAAACTCTTAGTCAGGGTATGAACCAGTTGATCCAGCAAAATGCAACGCTCTTGCAACACCTTGTTCTACCGGTTCAACAAAACTTTCCAGAACAAGATCTCTCGAGTCCAAACGGAGGTAATGGGAATCTTGAAGAGAGGGATAATCATCCCCCCCAAAATGAGACTGAAGTGGAACAAGCCAGGTGGGAACCCGATATAGAGAGGTGATTCACCCATCTCTCCCACGGAGTTCCCGACCTCCTGAAAGTATAACTTTCTGTCTTAAGGAAAAGACAAATAAAGTTACCTATCTCAACTTGCAGATCAAGGATCTCAAGGGGAAAATGGAGGATGTAATGCAGGCTATGAAAGGGAAAGGTCCTACCGCCGTAGATAACCTGGTACAAAGGACCAACCTGCCTTTCAGCCCCGCCGTTATGAAATGTCCACTACCGAGCAAGTTCAGGATGCCCTCGTTCGAGAGCTTCGATGGGACCAAAGATCCCCTCGATCACCTGGAAACTTTTCAAGCTCTTATGCATTTACACGCTGTGCCAAATGAAATCATGTGCCGAGCTTTTCCCACTACACTTAAGGGATCAGCGAGAGTTTGGTTTAACAAGTTGAAGCTAGGAACCATCAACACCTTCGAAGAATTGAGTAAGCAGTTTGTGAGCCATTTCATTGCAGGTCAGAGGCATAGGAGGCCGGCTACCTACCTGTTTACCGTGGAGCAACAAAGGGAAGAGTCGATTTAGGAATACATCACCCGATTCAACGCAAAGATGTTGCAGGTAGAAGAGGCGGACGACAAGGTAGCTTTGACCGCTTTCATAGGAGGACTCCAAACCTTTAGATTCTTGTTCTCCTTATCAAAACAACCTCCCACCAGCATAATAGAGTTGCTGGTCAGAGCGCAAAAATATATCAACGCTGAAGACACCATGAGTGCACGGAAGGAAGGAGAGGACGAGAAGAGGCCAGCCCCTCTCGCCAGGGATGAAAATAATACCAAATATAAGAAATCGTTCTTTAGCCAGAGCGACAGCACATATTATGAGAATGACTCAGATGAGTATACCGACTAGAAATCGTCTCACGGCTGGAATTAGCCTTATCAAGTCATTCACAATAAAAGACTGGGGACATCTTAGTTAATTATTTTAAATGGAAGGTAACTCCATCACGTGTTATTTTGTTTTTAATAAGCATTGAGGCAATGATGGTCTTTAATAAAATTCCTTTTAGTTTTATACATGCAGTATCCCCGTACTATAAGGGATAGTAAATGAATGTCCTGTATTACAAGGACCCGGGCTGAGTGAATCCCGTAATCCGTATCCCCGTAC